CGCTACACTGTCGACTCATTAGCCAAGTGCATATATCCCATCTTCTCTTCAACTTATCAACGGACGTATGGACGATAAAACGCGAGTCATTTCTTCGAATATCGCAGTGAACCTTTTCTTTGAGGGCATAACCCCCCCTATTTGTAGAGTTATCACGGTCGAGCTTCCTCCATTCTCGGAGTTTGATAGTAGCCAGTTGAAACGGCAGATTAGACTTTGGATTACCATACATCACGAATTTCGATATGGGCGTCTAGATATCCTTCGGGGTTTTCTTCTTCTTCTTCTTCTTCTTCTTCTTCTTCTATTAATTATTGAAGTAACTCTCAGAAACTCCTTAGAAGGGGCAAAAGGAGCCCAGGATGACTCAATTTATCCTACAATATCAATACTCCAATGACGACTATCCTATCAAATCACTCCGTCTACCGTGTCCAGAATTTCGAAGAGATCTTTCAGTGATGTCAAGTGTCCAAAAGCTCTTCAGCGTCCAGCAGTTGTACACCGGGATCGTCAATGAGACTCGAGCCGTCATAAGGCTCCCCGCAATGCGGATTGCCGGTCATATCGTGGCCTCGGGGAGAAAAGTTAACAAAAACTGCTATATCTGAGATGCACGCGTGTGACTGGCCTCCTGATTGTGGTCTTACAGATGCGGTAAAGGATGTACGAACCGCACCTTGTTACAGGCACCTGCTCCAGAGGCCATGGGCCTTGTTATTTCTTTTGGGCGTAAGATCGTCTGTTGCATGTAGACTGCCAGGTACATGAGGCAGGTATTGACTAATTTGGAAGGTCCTGCGGCCCATTAGGAATCATTTTCGTGCCACCTACCCTAGGAGTCTCCGGATAAGCCGGCATGCTCAGGACTCGGCCGACAGCGGTGTACACAGGTTGCATCGTGTTAAGAGACCCAAACCTATGTAACACCGGTATATTTCCTCTTTTCTAGACCGCTCAAAGGTGTTTTTCGTTGAATAAAGCTAACCCACCTCGGGTAGGGTTTCGACCCAAAAAGGGCCGGTTTCGGCACTAGCAGAATTTGGTATCATGAAAATCTACCTTCAACGGCCAAGGATACGAATGCAAATCCGTAGCTTGAAAGGCTATCTTGCACCAACCTCGAAACCCATTGAGGGGCTAATATCCTGCCTCAGGTGTCAAAGTCCTGTAGTCTCCCCAGGTCAAATCGAGAGCTGGGGTTCGGTCAGGTTGGGGCCAAGGACTCACTTCCGCCTCAACGATGATGATGATCATGACACTTAGAAGTAGCACAAGGTGTATGACCCGTTCTCGCGTGGCGAAGTGCGTTGATTCACTTTTCCAGCGTGCCAGACCACGAGGTGAAGTGGCACTAGTACACAAACAGCTTTCTTTTTGTGCAAGCCATGACTCTGGATAGACTCAATGTCTCAGAGACTCATTGACCATTGGTTGTGATAACGTCGGAAGGTAGCTATCGTTGTGTTTCCGCATGGCTATCAGGCCAAGACATTTGCACAAAGCCATGGCAGACGTGATGAATCAAAGACATTAAGACCAGCCAGAAGAGGAAACACAACATGGAGGTTTGTTCAATTCGTCGATCTGCCTGATTATTAACTCTTTGGCGCCCAATGAATTGGCCGGATCGCAATCTCCCTTTTCTCCCTGCGTTTCCCTCAACAAGTGCCAACATTCCCGTGTATCCCTCCACCATTTTTCCTTTTTCGGACGGTAGTAGTGCCAGGAGCCGGCGAACGGTTCAGGATTTGAAAATATAAAAGAAACCACTTGAGGCTACTATAAGTAAGTGGGGCATGAGTACATTTGCAGACTGCATAGTTACGCCTCTTGTAAAGTCGAAACTTTTGGCAACCTCGCGCCTATAGTCCGCGCCTCGGAATCTCATCTTCTTCGGTAACATGCATGTTCCTAGTTTTTCTCCCACGCAGTCGGGATGTCTCAATCAATCAATTTGCTAACCAAGTCAGATGAGCCGGGATTCGCTTCCCGGGACGACGCCCAGCAAATTAGATTGCATAATCTGAACTTGTTTGTTTCTGGTGTCCAACGTCGTGTAACATTGCATTTGTCCGCTTTGGCACTCGTCCCTGGTTCCAGGCTGTTCTGCACTGCGACGCTTGAGGTGCGTTCCAGGGCTCGGACATTCGGAGCTCATCCGGCGTCCCATCTACCGACGCGCGCAGAGGTGCCCGATCCAGCCTGGGGCGAAAACTGGTCCGCTGGAAGGCACTTTTGGCACAGCACCCCGTTGCGATTTGCGTTTCAAGAGAAAGGTTTGGTCGGTAGCATTGCCCCCGAGTGGAAAGGCATTTGCATTCTCGTCATCCGTGTCTCTCTATCCTCCATAGGCATCTGAGACATCTCATTCCTTTTGTGTGACAGCACTCTTTTTGGCGGGTTCTTCAAGATCTTATTAGGGAGCAAACCTCTCATTATCGGTTCTGAAGTTTTCTCATCGTCGATCTTCATTCATCACAATGGTTCGTGTGAGCACTCAAGACCTCACGCCAGAGGCTGTGGCCTCGGGTCGTCCTGCGTTACCGGACTATGTCACCACGCCAAACGCAGTTTTTAGCGACGAAGGAGTCCAGTGGAGATATGGAAGACCACCAGACTATACAAAGACACGCAAGGTTTGGAGGGAAGGTACGTCACGTTTGGATATAGACTGGGGTTTGCGTCCTCTTATATGCTAACAATGGCTTCAGGCAAAAAGATGAGCCATAAGGCTGGTAGTCTTGAAGAGATTGTGGAGAACCTGGTCAAAAACTGGGAAGTCGAGGCTTCTTTCAAGACAAAGCTCGATGACTGGCGGACCATCGACCACGCCAATTACACATTTTCCGTCAACGGTGGTCCGCCACAGACGGGTGAGCACATGCTCAAAGTTGGCACGTATAATGCTGTCATTATGCCCAATGAGTACTACAGCCCTGATTACTCAGATTTTGCCTCAAGCCACAAGACTTTCAAAAGAATGATGCCCAACTTTGCTTGGGAGGTTCTTGAAGTCTACAGTGGCCCGCCCTGTGTGGCGTTTAGGTGGCGCCACTGGGGAGTTATGAAGAACGACTACGTTGGATTCAACGAGTAAGTCGTCAAAACGCTATCTTCAACCTTCCCTCCGCTATTGGACCATTTCCACAATAATAGAAACTGACAAGAGGGTTATCATTTATAGCAAAGGCGATAGAGTCACGGCGCAGGCCCACGGCGGACCCATTGACATTGAGGGTGTGACAGTCGCAAGGGTGGATGGTCAACTTCGTTTGCAGGCTGTTGACACGTGGTTCGATTCGCTGCAGATGTTCAGGCAAATCGCTCCGGATGGAGTGGTCAGAAAAGAGCCCAAGACTGACAACCGCGGGCCGGAAGCCAGGTTTGACGAGGCAGTAGCACAAGCCGTCAAGCTATCGCCTGACGAGATAAGTAAGCGGCATAGCGACGTTGTAGATGGCAAGAGGTCAGGCGGATGCCCCGTAATGATGAACAGAGAATAGGTCTATATGATGAATGAGAAAAACAGAGCAAGTCGGAGCCGTTCTCGTGTAGATCTGGAATAACTCACAATGGGGCAATGCCAAAGACGGATAAAGACTAATGAGACTGGACACAGACCACAATGCAGATGAAGCGGTGTACGTTAGTCGGCTTTTCAAATAAATACGAAAACAGGCACATGAATTTGCTCCTCGTACAGTATGGATGTCATCATTCCGGAACATGGTGTGGACTCCTTGCAAAATACCAAGCTTAAATTTTCTACCGCTCAAATACAAGTCGCTATTCGAAGGGGTAGGATTGTGTTAACACGGTTATGACTGTTAGACACAAGAAAGCCATGGTTTCGAATAGCTTGGGATGGTTCCCACATACAGATGACCGAATGTTATTACTACCCATTATTCTATGTTTACAGTCTGAACAGCGACTCGGGTACCTTTCTTTCGTGATACTTCTATGGAGATTAGAAGGGAGAATCATGTAGTTTGTTGATAGTTTTCGTTAGCCGATACATGTCAAGATACTGGATATTATCCAGGTTCAGGGCCTTGCACCCTATGATAACGCATTTCTCGCAGACAAACTACTATCAAGTGAAGGTTCGTCTTCTGATGCTGTGCAGTCCAGTCATTTACGGATTTGACATCCACGATCGGAGGAGCTTGAGGATGTGACAACAGGAGGTCTCGCAAAGGCCACGAATTAGCCATCTGTTGCTAGCGGAGGGCGGTTATTAGGCAGCAACTACACTCTCTCCGCCTTTCTGAGTTTATAGTAAGACCAATAGAGAATTAAATCGCTTGGTTCTGGAGAATTGATTATCTTTTCTCTTCCTCGAGTCTGTGATTCAATGCTAAGCACGAAATGACAGCCCCAGGCTAAAAGTCAAAAGCCCAAGGCCCCTGCTTGAACATATTATTTGCAACGCTCAATCAACACGTTTTTTCTTCTCTGACTCTCAGTATGCTAGTTCCAGAGATGGCGTCGTTGCGGCTCTCGTCATTTCCAGTACTCTTGCGCCATCGATCGTGATCAGAGTCCCAGACTTATCTTTTCATCTCCCACACTGGAATACATAAGGATACTGGTAGTAAGAGAGGTTAAGCACCGGCGTAAGACCCGGCTCTTGGTCCAGTCTAATGGACTGCGACCTCTTATGAAAGGTAGAGATATCGAGGCTTATATCACTGGGAGGAAGTAAAAGCCGGGGCTCAATCTCCTTTGACTATGCTCTTAGTATATTTACTCGGTCAATCGAAATTACAATCGCATTAACAGTATGGTGCCACGGTCCAGTTTCGGAGTGTGATGGGTAGAAGCTAACCTCATTAGAGCCATTTCACTCTCATCTGCCGCTCATGGGGCTCCCTTCTCTCAGAATAGCTCTTCGGTAGCTCACCTGCCATGATTTGGGTCATTTTCCGGAACAACTCTCAACACAGCCACATCTGGATACCCGTGGTCTTGCGGCACCCGTTGATGTTTGTTAAGGCATCAATTACGCGGAGCAGCCCACCGGTAAGCTCCGCTTCAATCCAGTACAGTGGCCTTCTGCTTCATTCAATGGGACACGGGAAGCCAAGTCCGGTGGGAAATTTTGTATTCAGTATGTCAAGACTGAATTGGCATACGGCGAAGACCGTTTGAATCTCAATGTTTACAGGCCATCCGTTGTGAGCCTGGCCAAGAAACTGCTTGTTTTGGTCTATGATGGATCCATGGAGTAGGGTTATTTGCGTCTTGCTGAGAGACCGCGGCCGGGGGGGGGGGGGGGGGGGTGGGGCGCTAACATGGTTGCTAGGTCTGTTTCGTAATGGCGCCGGCATAATCTTTGACGGAGCTTCGTCTGTTACGGCCTCGCGAGAGCCTCTTATCGTTGTGACCTTCAACTACAGAGTGAGTCCACTGCTACACTGGCTAACCTCGCCTGTACTGGTTGATGCCGAACGCATCGAGAAAGCGGCTACTGGCCTTTAGGCTGACTACCGATACAACGGCACTCACCGTTTTTAGCCCGTTTCAATTATTTATTGCTTCGTTCGACCTTTACGGTTGCTGTAATTCCAGCGCCGACATGCTACTGATTAGACGCTTCCATCATTCCCCGCCTTCCGTCTGAACCTTGGGACTCGGGCTTATGGAATCGCCCCCCTGCCTTGATATGTTTCAACACTGATGAGAGTAGCATGTATGTACCACAAAAAAACTACTAAAAAACTGAACACGGACGACGGAACCTATACGTGGTTTTCCAATCTGTATACTGGCCTCAACAAGAGCGATAGACAGATCCCCAGCCACCTGTACCCGGACACCCAGACTAACCCTGGATCTCTCTACGTGAATTTCAGGGGAAGTCTGCTCAATTTACAAGGCTGTCCGACGCATATGGTCACACTACATACATTAGCGTGGCACAATATATCGCCTCCCGTCTTTCAGCGGAGGGTGTTCCGGTATGGAAGATGCACTGGAACACCAATGATAGTATCACCCCGTACCTTGGCATCTCACACGGTGCCAACGTTCCCTACGCTTGGGATGTGCTAGATACGTAATATCCCGTAGCCGGGACAGTCCTTTCTAGGTACTATTCAAACTTTGTTGTCAGTAGTAACCACAATGTTCACAATGCCAGCAATGCCAGCAAGGCCCTTGAATGGAACAGATATGAAGATCCAGACTCCTATCGTCTGGGTTGGCAAGCAAAGATTGACGCAAATGGGACACGTATTGAGAGAGATTACATCAGAAGAGAGGCCATCGAGTACTGGAAAGCGATCCCAAGAAAGCTTGGTCATTGAGGTGATATTGTGTTATTGGATTCTTTAAGGTTTCTGCACAGTGATCTCGATACGAGTATGGGTATGAAATACCAACCTCCTCTTATCATCCATGATAATCGAGATCAATGTGATATCCCAGCCTATTTTCACCATAAGAGTCTTGATAAATTGCCTTACGTATGCCAACGCCACAAAACTGGCAAAACCCATTCAAGAGAAATCCGAACCCCTTTTTGATGAAGTCTAGTGGCTTATATGAGTAGAAGTAAGCTCGCCAGCCATGACAAACCCAACATTGTACGTGATGCACCACTCGTCGGAGACGGGGACGCAGTCGTTGCCGTAGAAGGGTCGGTGATTGGCGAAGAGTTCGTCTCCAGAGTGGCGGCTTCAATCTTGAGGTCGGTGGAGTTGAAGCAGTTGTCACCAGTCACCTGCGTAACCTTGGACTGGTCTCCGGTGAAAATAACGTCGACACACTACCTCTTGGTCAGTCTCAATTTGGCCAGTGGGTATTGGTTGCCTCCGGGGTACGAAGATGCAGTTGCACGTACACTGAAGAGGGTAGCACCATGCTGTGCAGCCTGAACGACCTGGATCGACGCCATGTCGCCCTCATTCAGGGTTACGCCCTCCGGGATGGGGACCTTTGGGAGACAGAATGTGCCCTCGTACTGCTCGTTCGTCGGCCCCGTCAGGAGGAACCTGGGGGCCATCACCGTCGTGTAGCTCTTGGGCTCCTCGCCGAGACCAAGATTGATGTACATCAGCGCCTTCTCGTGGCCTGGGTTCCAGCCTGGTTGTACGGCGATGGCGCCGCCGTCAATGGGCCAGTGAGTTCGGTTCTGTGTCACGCCGAGCCCGCCGCCTTTGTTGCCATGTCAGCACAATTGGCATTTTAACGAGACAAGCTGCCGCATCTGACTCGCCGCATAAGGGAGGAAGAAGGCATACATGGGTAAGTCCACTGCATCCCAAAGGGATATGTCTCATTCATGACGAAGGTGTTGCCTCTCCATCCTGGATAGCTGATGATGGTGTGGCCCTGGGTCAAAGCCGCAAGGAGCCAAGCAATGACAGTCGTAAGACTAGAGCTGCTCTTCATACTGGAGATGGCTTGACGTGGATTTGGAGGCTCCAGACATTCCGAGCTACTCTGGCTGGGTTACCCGTCGTTTTTAAACAACTGTATCGGAACCGCACGCCGAGACCCGGACATCGCCGCTGGAGAGACGAGTATCAGCAGAAGGCGAGCTAAGTTGTTCTGTTGTCGAACCACGGCAGTCCGGTCCAATAATACATCAACATCTTCATACATGTCAGCCCTACCTTAAGACACGCCATCAAATAGCTAAACGGCTACACATGTAGCTTACGCCGGGTGGATGGCTACTAGCGGACTGTGCAGCGATTAACAGCAGGTCCGAGGATGTACATAGTAGCTTTGCCAACACCCTCCTCTACAGTAACAGTCTATAGCTTGAGTAATACATGTTATATATATCTTTACTGATAGATATTATGAGTGAAATCGAGTCGGTCAATCTCTTTCGTTGCAACATGTGGTACAACGGGAGAACGAACTCGAATTGCCTAGTGCATCCTCTGAACAGCAACATCAGCCGCAGTCTGAGCGATACTTTTTCCCCTGCCTCGAATGATGCGCAAATTTGGTTGACTCTGATTAGCCATCCTATGGTAGCCTACAGGACACACTGGTCCAAAAGTCAACTTAGGCTGTTACACCTACCCCTATAAGAATTTCTTAGATCTTTACTTTGATTAGCTTACTTAAAGTGTATAGGCTAGTAGTAAACTTTGAAAGTTTCTATAAAAAGAAGATGATTTATAATTCAGTTAGATAATAAATCTTAGAGAGTATAATATAAAGAAGTATTATAATTAAAAGTTTTAAATTCTTCTTAAATAAAAATTAAAATACTAGTATTAGTAGTAACAATAATTACTGTAACTAGTATATATAAATAATAGTAAATAAGTAAGAGTAATAATAAGTATTAAGTAGACACTAGTAATAGTAGGTAAGCACTAGTGATAGCAGGTAAGCACTAGTAATAGTAAGTAAGCACTAGTAATAGTAAGTAAGCACTAGCCTATAATAATAAGCTAGAAGTTATAAAAGACTAGAGATTAAGGCTAAGCCTTTTGTAGGCCTATAAGGTATAGTAAGGTTGTACAAGTATTATCTTTAAACTAGTTAGACCTTATTAATAGATATTATAAGTAGGCTTAGATATATACTATACTATATCTATATTATCTTATAGTTCTAAAGAGGAAATTTCTGACTTTTGGACCAGTGTGTCCTACAGGCTGCTGTACCATCCACCTTTAAGCAGCCAAACCAATGACCGTACAGATATCACTGGTCAGCACTAGCAACACGTCCATGAGACATGGCGCAGCAGTGTCGCTCTGTCGCTAAGAGAACATCAAGATTCCTTTCTAGCGAGATCACTGTTCCCCAGAGTAACAGCGCTGGCCTTGCCATCTGAGCACCACTGGTTAATACATCATAATCAGATGGTCTGAGCTGTGGTATAACCGCAGCGTCCATCTACCTCGTGGCATTGTATCGATCCCTGGGGTGGGCGGCGATCAACGTCACTTTACTCACATAAGGAAAGCCGGCGCTATCGGTTCTTGCTGTTATCGTTTATGCTGCCTCTCTGTAGATTCAAATGATGGAGACAGCTGCGTGGATTAGGAATTAAAGCCCCGAGAGTCTCCCGGGGCAGTGTCCTCTTTCAATGGAAGAGAGGATTGAAACCATTTCCCATTACCCATCTCCGCCCTCACTAATCACATTGCTTCCCCAAATCATGATCCTCCATCGTTCAACGCCCCCGAGCGCCTCACGCAATCATAGAGCGTGGGGACTTCATAGCGCCATTGGCCCCAAGAAGAACAAACAGCACGAGGCCAGGCCACCCTGCCTGGAGCATCCCTGCCTCCAGGGAAAGCAATCAGAAACTGAGAGAGGGCCAGGCCAGTGGGGTTGCAAGAGGCAGCAGGATTCGGAGCTGATCCCTGCCGAGTCCCAGGCACCCGTTTAAACAAAATACCGGCCTTGGAAATGGAGGAGTAAGGAGCTTCTGCCTGTTTTCCACAGCCCACTCTGGCGGTCAAAGTCCCAACATCACGTTCTGCGGCATGCTTCTAGGTTACGTGGCAACTTGACAAGAGCTTCCATCAGCCAGAGATGCTTTGCTAGCCCGTAAGCGGGTAATTCAACCGCCGCCTCCTGGTGATGCCTGGCACGCTGCGCCTTTTAGTTGTCGAGTGTCTAAGAACTATCTCCCTGCCTTTTCCTCATTCGCCTTTGCCTCACATTCCTCTGAAAATGCCCTCATCCCATTGTGCAGCAGTCGACATTCCAACGTGCAGTCGATCATTGCATTACTGCCGTGCACGCAGGCTGCCGTAGGCGCTGTGACAGAAAGGGCTAAATGCCAGTCGATCTCTTTTCTGCCTTTTCTGGATCAGGGGCTGCTGGCATTGCCAAACGAGATCGAGTGTGTGGTCACTATTGTCTCGGCTGCTCGGCTTCACACACGCTAAGAAGCGCTTCCGAGTCAGAACCTGTCAAATGCCACAATGGGTGTGGTGTGGTGTATATGGTTGTATCTAGGTTGGGGGGAAGGTATGGGTGCAATAAACACGAACAGGGGTTGTAACAATATGCAACATATGGAACGATTGTGAAAGATATAAAGGCATGCTTTTCTCTTCACCGGCACCCCCCTAAGAGTTGGACTTTGTCTGGGTTTCATCAGTCCCATCTTCAACTACACGACTCCTCTCCCTCGAGACCACTCACCACGGATCCCTCATCACTATCACCACCGCCAAAGCCAAGATGCAGTTCAAGATCCTCGTCGTCGTCGCCGCAGCCGCCACCGGCGCCCTGGCCATCGGAGACCTCTCTGGCTCCTTCCCCCAGAACCTACGACGCGGGGCCGACGCCCTCGAGGCCCGCGACGAGGCGTCCTGCATCGCCGCCGTCTCCGAGCACGCCAGCTTCACCACCGACTTCCCCCCCATCCCCGATGCCCTCGCCACCGGCACTGGCGCCAACATCCCCCAGATCACCGACCCGTGCAAGTTCCCCTCCGTCACTGGCTCCGTCGGCGAGGTCCTCACCTCCTATTCCTCGGCTCTGCAGTCCTGGGAAGACGCCCACATCACCGAGATCCGCGCCCTCTGGGGCGCCTGCAGTGACGTCCCCGAAATCTCCGCCCTCATCGCTCAGTTCGGCGCCTCCATTTGCTCCACAGCGCTCAGTCCCATCACCAGCCAGGCCGCCGACGCGGCTACCGCCACAGCTACGGCCACCACCGCCGGCGCCGGTGAGACCTCGGCCGTGTCCTCGACAGCGGTCCCTGCTGCCGCCGCGCCTCGCGAGACCGGCATGCTCATTGCTGCTGCCGCTGCTGCCGCCGGCTTCGTCGGTGCTGCCATGCTATAAGCATATTGTTTTTGTGATGGCGCAGAGGAAAAACGTAGAGATGAGCAAGATTTTGAGGGATAAACCAAGTACTGGAAATTGATATGAGCGTGTTGCACATACCAAGACCTCGCAATGCATTCAAAAGCTCAGCGCCATCTGTATATATGTACTTTGTTCATAGGAATGGTATATACCTATTTGATAGTTCATGCCCTGCTTCCTCATGAGTTCCGCCACACGAATACCCATCGTCTACACTTAAAGAGGGGGAGGAGGGGGGGGGGGGGGGCATTGACAGATGGTGCTTGTTTAGGAATGGGCCCGAAGAGCATCAATTCTTACGATCATAGATTGGTATCTTCATACACGATAGCTAAACATGCTCCCTAGTAACTGTTGTCAAACGCCCTACTCCAAAAAATCGAAGCTTCCGTCGCCCTTTTCGACACGACGCCAAAGCCAACCACCCAGCGGAAACCTCAGGCCTGAATGCCAGCAAACCTCTGCCACCTAGCTACAGTGGTAGCCCTGTCTACGCGCGACCGACCCATCCGGCGTTGATAAAGAATTCGAATATGCGACCGCCCTTCTGTGAGTCGAGCCTGCATATCTCTTTGGCCTGCTTCTTCTTGAGAGTGCCGTTGCTCTTGAGGGCCTCCTTGAGGATCTGTTCCTTGATCATCAGGTACGGCTTCGGCTGCAACCTCACCACTTCGCAGAGCTTAGCCTCCTCCGGCGTCAGGAGGTGCAAATCCGGCGCACCGTCCTGGGTGAGCTGAAGTGGCGTGACGCCCGGCAGGGCCGGGGCCATGTACCTCTGCCGTGTCACAGGGCCTGACGGACCTGTGCCGTTGGCAACGACGACCGTACCGTTTGTGGTAGCTCCATTGGCGTTGCCATTGGTCTGGGGTTTGCTGTCCCCGTTAGGATCCCTGGGTTCCCTGGGCGGAATGGTACCGTTGGTGCCGTCGGGGGCTGGCGCCGACCGGATAGGCAGCTCGGGAGCCACAAGCAGGGCGGCACCGCTCGGAGGGTCGGGTACAGCGGCTGCCTTAGACCGTTGTGCCGAGGCCAGGCGGTCCCTGTCCATGGATCCCATGGGTACAGCCTTCTGTGCCCGTTGCGCCTTTTCCGTCTCATATTTCTCCCCGCTGCGCAAGTCGCCAATGCGCACGCTTCGCCACTCCTGGAGCTGTTGAATGGCCTGCCGTAAGTTAAGCTCGTCAATCAGGCCTTGGCACAAGCTCTCGAAGTCATCGTGGTTCATCATCCGAGCGAAAGGCTTGGCCTTGTTCAAGAGGTCCCTCTCCTCCTTGCTCCTCTTCTTCTCCACTTTGGTATTCTCACGGTATTCCAACAAGTTGTGCTCGAAAATGACCTTTTTCCTGTCGACACGTTGCGTGAGACGACAGTTGTAAATGTCCATGACTGTCAGCTTCAGCTCCATTTCCGGCTCAAGCTCGCCTGTTCGGGGGTTGAGGCCATCGCCTGGGTCGAACTGCATAAGCTGCACTGCTTCTTCGGCCTCGTTGGCATATTCGGTCTCGAACTCCAAACGGCCAGGCATGTAGCCTTGAATTTCGTGACATGACGGTACGGAAGCAGTCGGTTTCGTCTTCGGCTGCAATGTGGGCGCGTTCTTGGCGGCTTCTTTCCGCTCTTCTATCCTGCGCTTCTTCTTTGCTTGGAAATCCTCTCTAGAAATCTCGTTCGCAAGGTCCATATCGTGCGGACTGCATCGTTTCGGCAGCGGAAACCGTGGCGAGTCAACGTAGACTTTGAGGTAGTGATCTCTTACTTCATCCTTGTGGCGGAACCCGCCAATGTGGTCGGCAATGTCGGCCCATGATCCCAAGCCATATATCTCTGCGCCCTCGAGCAAAAGTAGTTCTTCGTCGGCACCCCAATCACGGTCGAAGATGGGAAACGAGTTTTGTTCGATGACACGATATGGATGTGTTTCGGGCTTGTGATTTGAACTAGACTTTCCGTGGGAAAAGCATTGGACACAGAGATCGTAGTCATTGCAAGCAGAGTGCGCGCATCTGATGCGTACCTAGATGCACGGAAAGGCAGTCCGTTAGCGTTGTGCGCAACATAGGATACGCGACTATCCTACGACCGTGTTGCGCCGGAACACAGCAGCGGGGCAAACCCCAGCTGGCCATGGCAAAAAGAACAAAGGACTTACCGTGGATGTGATGTCTACAGAGCAAATATCGCAATGATACTTGACACCACCCTCACCGCCCCGAGTGACGGTCTTCTTTCTGATGACGCCCATCTCGTCCAGGGCTGCGGTGGAGACGTGGAGGCCAGCCCCTGGTTAGGCTGATCCGACAGCGACCGAGTTAATGCGATGCGGGAGAATGCATACGGTGAGCTTATCGACGTGGACTTCGTGGCTTAATGTAGGCAGTTAGTGGTAGTCGATGCGGATGGAAGGCTCGTTGATGGTATCGATGGCATTGATGGGTTTTCGGATGATGAGGCGCGGGTGTGTTGCTATGGACTAACTGTTTTCCAAGGTTGAGCATCGGAAACATCAAATCACAGCCAGGCTCCAACCGACTCCAATCCGGGGACCGATGGCGGAATTTGGAGAGAAGGTTATCCCGAAGTCTTTCCGTCCTGAGCCACAAAGTGGCTTGTCATAAACTGCAACGCCACAGATAGCTTTTGAGCGACATGATTACATAATTCTATGGTAGACGTCCGTGTTTTTCTAACCGGCTCCGCCATCCCCGCCCCGTCCCTCTGGGCTACTACTATGGACCAATCCCGGCCTTCTACCTAGGCACGTACTAGGTAATCATTCTACTAGGAAGCAAGCGTTGCGATAATCGCCCGCCAGCGTTTGTTTTGTTATGTATCGAACAGATCACTAACATTGGAAATTGCAGAAGCCGAGGCAGTCGCGACAGCCATGAGATCCTACGACAAAGGGGTATATCTCTTTAGGGCTTTCAATCACTGCTGGACCACGCTATTCTGACCTCTTGTCCCGCAATGCTGTCCTTCCAAGGTTCAAGCTTTCCGCCTGTTTCCCGCCGCTGTTCGTCATACAGCGCATAAGGCCGCTCGCCCAGCAGTGGTGCGCTTTTCAAATGGTGGGGTTCGCGGGTCATTTCTTCATCTGTCCCTTCATCCTTTCTCCAGTCTCTCCAGCAACCCCCGGCAGTCGCCGTCACGGAACCGTGAAAGCAGGGATCAGACGTCACTTTTAATGAGCTGTTTTGTGGCAGCTCCATCGGTCTTACTGTCCCTCGGCAGGTCGCGGCCGACAACTGGACTCTCGTGCAGAGTCTCGTCCATCCTCCGTTAGCCTCGCAACGGAACCAACAACGTGACTTGCTTATATATCTCGCCTCGTCTAGACTTTATCTCCTTCCAGTTCTTGAGTTGTCACGTCCCATCTTGTAGAGCTGAGCTGAGCACGTAACCGGCCCCCTCCTTTCGTCGCAAAAACTACCCCGCCACCATCACCAGCGCCACCACACTGTCGTGAACAGCCGTCTCATTCAGTTGCAATGCCTGAAAAGATCCTTGACGACATCTCCCACCGACGGTACAACCCGTTGAAGGACACTTGGTTGCTGGTCTCCCCCCATCGAACCAAGCGCCCCTGGCAGTAAGAATGCGCCGTACAAACGCTTAACACGGCATGTGCTGAGACGAACAGAGGTCAGCAGGAGGGGCCATCCACCACGACGCTTCCCGAATATGACCCCAAGGCAAGCTACCATGGGTCGTACACAGCCCACGATCATCAAATGCTGACTTTGACAAGTGCTACCTCTGCCCTCGGAACTCCAGGGCGGTAGGCGATTCGAACCCCGACTACAAGAACACCTTTGTCTTCGTCAATGACTACAGCGCTGTCAAGGAGGAGCAGGCCGCGTACAAGCCAGACGTAGAAACCAACGGCATGTCGTCCCGCGGCACGAACTAGAACAGAGCATATCTAACAGTTCCTTAGACATCGCATCGTCGCTGCTTCGCGCCGAAGCGGCCACGGGCAAATGCTACGTCCTCACATTTTCTGAGAAGCACCATGTTACCCTTGCCGACATGACGACCCAAGAGATCGCTCCCGTCATCGACGTGTGGACACAAATCTACGCTTCCCATCTCTCCCCTTCGAACCCACTCTCCAAGGTCGCTGCCGCCCTCGAAATCCCTGCCCCAACCCCCGAAAGCACAGTGCCGCCGCCCAAGCACAGCCTACGGTACATGCAGATCTTTGAGAACAAGGGCGCTGCGATGGGATGCTCGAACCCGCACCCGCACTGCCAGATCTGGGCGACGTCCACAATGCCCGAGGAGCCCGGCACCGAGCTGAAGCAGATGGCCAAGTATCGCAACCAGCACGCCGGACGACATCTACTGGGCGACTATGTCAAGGTTGAGTTGGAGAAGAAGGAGCGCACTGTCTTCGAGAACGAACACTTCCTTGTCGTTGTCCCCTGGTGGGGTGTGTGGCCGTTCGAGGTCCTGGTTCTGCCCAAGAGGCACGTTCGCGCTCTGGTGGACTTGTCCGCCGAGGAGCGCTTACAGTTTGCCGAAGCCATCCAGGAGGTCGCAAGGAGATATGACAATCTCTTCGAGACGCACTTCCCCTACAGTAAGTAGGCCCAAGACGTGCTTCATTGCCAAGTAACTAACGCCATGACAGGTTCTGGTATTCACCAAGCACCACTTGATGCCACCGAGGAGGAGGCTGAGAATAGCTACCTCCATATGCACTTCTACCCGCCTCTGCTGCGCTCTGCCACCGTTCGCAAGTTCCTTGTCGGCTACGAGATGATGGCGGAGCCCCAGCGTGACATCACCCCGGAGCAAGCCGCCGCTCGGCTCCGGGCTACCGGCGGCGAGCTGTATCGTAAGGCCATCCAGTAGAATACAAATGCATACAACTGCGATATTCACGTGCGAATCCCGATTGAGGATGTTGGGCTTCTTGTGTTATTATCAACATAATCGCAATGGCGCATCGATCTCCCTGAGTAGCTGAGTAGCCAGCATCTGTTCAGCAGCCTTATGCAGACATACTACCCATGTCCATACGCCGTCGCCGCAGTTTTGTTTTTAGTGTATATGACATGAGTATTGTCTTTTGTCCAGTTTTAGTCACATCCCTGTTTCCTAAGAACAGCCTAAGGGCTGTCGACGTAAAAGGGGCGAACCAACGGCATCCAAATCAGAGCAGTAGTAGCCAGAGTAAAGGGGAATATCTGTGGCAGGCCAAAGGACATGCTCTTGAAGATGAACAGCTCGCTGGCAAAGTGGCCCAGCGCAACAACGTATGTCCAGATGGCGAGGTCGTACATGTGCGCATGACGCAGGTGATACGCAGCGTAGAGACGGACTATGCTCGTAACGAATGTCCAGGTGCCGAAGCAACGTGCGGCAAGGGGCGTTGCCTGATCAATAATATCGGTCGCGCCTGCGGGGGCGGGAACGTACTTGTCCACTGAGTCCTCCGGGTTGAACGTGGCGGACCGGGCGGGGAGTTTCGTGTTGCGGACGTATTTGCCGTCGTAGAGGCGGCGCGAGTAGTGCAGGGTCATGAGGTTCTGCACTGAGTTGCCAATAGAGATCAGGGAAAGCTAAGGGGCAGCCTAGTCAGTGACATGATCGTGAAAGCCATAGCTTGATTCCTTACAAGGAGCATGTAGTAGGGCAGGATACCACCCTTCGCCGAGGGAAGGTAGTCAGCGTAGGACGGCATTGCGACTGATCTTGGGGTTTCAGAGGCTCGATTTAGGTCAATTGGCGTGAAGCGTTGGTGATAGGGTTGCAGCGCATCCACGGAGCAGAGTGTAAAATCATACAGCTTCGAAATGCATCAGCTGTCAATTCGAAATTGGCTGTGGCTCGACCTTGGTAGCTAGCTGTGGCTGGCTAGAGCCGCTTTTCCAACGATTGGTCAGAGCTTTCTGCCCCTCCAGCGTCCCAAGGCACCTCTGTACTGCTGTACCACTGTACCGGGGTGCCAGGTAGGTAGGTATTAGTGTGGGTAGAAAGTTCAACAAAATGAGGCAGGTGCCGAGGTGTGGCTGGTGGGATTTTCGAAATGCATTTTCCAACATTCGCGCATCTCAACATTTTATCCGTGTTCACCTATATCACGGGCGAGACGCAAGTTCCAGGTCGTCTGCACCGCCCTCCAATCTTCGGCCTGTTTCTCTTCGCACACTTAAAACATTGACTGAGGACTCGTGGCGGTATTTCATCATGACAGGATTGATCGACAATCTGGCCTACGTGCCCCAGCCGATTCAGCTTCTTCTTGCTGGTATTGGCGCCCTTTTTCTCACCTCCAAAGCCCTGAGCTACGTCAAGTTTCTCCTTGGAGTCTTTCTGCTTAGCGGAACTAGTGTAAGTGGCCCTTCCCGTCGTCCAGTGACTGGTAAGGGAGTTGAGGCTCACGCATTTCTTCACAACAGCTTCGCAAGTATGGCAAGCCAGGCACTTGGGCCGTTGTGACCGGCGCATCCGATGGTCTTGGCAAGGAGTTTGCCTACCAGCTCGCCAGCAAGGGCTTCAACCTCGTCCTCGTCTCCCGAACCCAATCGAAGCTCGAGACTCTCGCTCATGAGATCGAGGCCAAGTTCTCAGGCAAGATCCAGGTCAAGGTGCTTGCCATGGATTTCTCCCGCGACGACGACGCCGACTATGACAGACTGGCCCAGCTCATCAACGGTCTCGATGTTGGCATCCTGATCAACAACGTCGGCCAGAGCCACAGCATCCCCGTCCCCTTCCTCGAGACCTCCCGCAGCGAACTACAGAGCATCGTCTCCATCAACTGCCTCGGCACTCTAAAGACCACCCAGGTCGTCGCGCCCATCATGCAGCAGCGCAAGCGTGGTCTCATCCTCACTATGGGCTCCTTTGCTGGCTGGATGCCCACCCCATACTTGGCCACATACTCCGGCAGCAAGGCTTTCCTCCAGCACTGGAGCAGCTCTCTCGCTGCCGAGCTGAAGCCCCAGGGCGTTGACGTCCAGCTCGTCCTCAGCTACCTCATCACCACCGCTATGAGCAAGGTTCGTCGCTCGAGTGCCATGATTCCTAAGCCCAAGGACTTTGTCCGCGCGACCCTTAGCAAGATTGGCTCCGGCGGCTACCAGAACTTTGCTTACACCTACACGCCCTGGTGGACGCATGCACTGATGCTTTGGGCTGTTGAGAGCACCATCGGCGCTGCCCACAGCCTGGGTATCTGGTTTAACCTCAAGATGCACGTCGACATTCGCAACCGTGCGCTCAGGAAGGCCGCCCGCGAGGCCAAGAAGCAGTAAAAAAGAGCTAGTAGTCATCGTGATGATTGGGCCACAACATTGAGGTAGATGAATGCGACACCTAGCTCCTCTGGGGTTAATAAGTTTCCAAATAAGGAATCATTCAATGTTGAATTTGATAGCTAGGTATGAAAGGGCATTGGGAATCATTGATAGGTTAGTGTTGGTGACTCAGGTATCGTGTCACCAGAAGGATGTTGTCAATGGAATAAACTAGAGCCATGAGTTCACGAATCGAAAGTATTAGATAACGTTGTTCAATGCCAATCAAAAAGCGCGATATCTCTGATAAACTCTACCCTAAGGAGAGCTATTGTCAATCGTGGTACGGAAACGTCAGGTTCAGCCTTGTATCCTAATTGGGTTTAGCGCGACTCCCGCCCGAAAATTCCAAGCACCCGACGCCCCAGCCTCTTTGAGCTCCGCCAGAAATTGTTTACTGCTGCACTTTTGCTGCCCTGGCTCCGAAACACCTTTATCTTTTCCTTACCGAGCTACCGAAGCTCCTAGTATCTGCAGTTATTCTTTGTTCAGCTTAAGCTGTGCTAGGTTCCAATATTGCAGACGCGTTTGCTGATTTACCACCTCTAAAAACACGCCAATTGACAGGAAACAGCCTGCCATCACCCGTTGATGATTCGGTAGCGCGACTTCAATCCGCCATCACTGGCCGCAGTTTGCGACGCGTTTGCCCGCCAGCCAGTCACCCGATTCCCTCTGCTGCTCGACAACATGTCATACCCCCAGTTGACACCGGCACGGCCGGTGCCGGGCGCCTTCTTCAACACGCCCGCAGCTTCGCGGTTCGCCAACGATAACGATCCAGCCAGGCGACGTCTGTTTGTGGATGCCGAGACAAGCCAGGGAAGCTCAGCAACAGCAAGTAGCAGCGCTTTAGTCAGGCCATCATCTAGTCTGGCCACCGCGACAATCTCGTCGACAAGTGCGGGCGGCGGACTGGTGTCAACTTCGTCGTCGCAACCCCCTCAGCAGAACCTCCCGCCTGTCACAAGGGCAGCTCAAGCGGTCAATCAATTCCTCCAGTCCGACGAGAACTACCCTGAGCTCGATTCCTATTGCAGGCGTAAGTCTTGCAAAATTCCTGTGGCATCCCACCTGACACACAATGAACTGACAACCACATAGCAGGAGCGTCGTCGGAATATGATTTCAACACTCTCGACTCGCCATGGGCGCCCTTCCACAAGACCCAGATGTATCCGATTCCGAACCAGGTTTTTAGCCACTATAACACCGGCCAGCTCCAGACCCTGATGGGCTTGTTCGCTGAAATCAACCATGCTTGGGTTGTTATCGACAACTCGCTCTTTCTCTGGGACTACACCCACCCCGATCCGGAGCTGATTGGTTTCGAGGACCAGCCGCATACGATCCACGCTGTCGCTCTCGTTGCTCCCAAGCCCGGAATCTTTGTTAACACCATCACGCACATTTTGGTTGTTGCAACATCCTCTGAGATGATCTTGCTTGGTCTATCCGCCGAATCCACTCCGTCAGGGACGAAGACAGTCTCGCTATACAGTACAAAGCTCAACCTCCCTCTCCGAGGTACCGATGTAAGGGTCATTGCTGGCACTGCCGATGGTCGCATTTTCTTCGGAGGTAGCAATGACACCGATATCCACGAGCTTTACTATCAACAAGAGGAGAAGTGGTTCTCGAGCAGGTGCGGCAAAATCAACCATACCAACCCCGGATGGTCGTCGGTTGTCACCCTTCAGAGCAGTTTTTGGGCACACAAGTCTCCAGAAGGCCTCCAGAGCATCGTCATCGACGACTCACGGAAACTTGTCTACACCCTGTCGACCCGATCTACGATCCGCACGTATCACATGGATGGGCCGGACAAGCTCACCAAGGTTATCGAGAAAGAGAGGAACGCCTGTCTCCGTGACATCACTCACATGATCACCCAATCTCCTCTGCTCAACGACCGTACAACCTTTGTTTCCATCAGCGCCATTCCCTCGCGAGAGGCCTCGAAGCTCCATCTCATGGCCCTCACCAACACTGGTTGTCGACTTTTCCTCAGCGCAACAAGCTCCGCCTCGTACATGATCGGCGGCGTCTCTTCCAACACACCTCCTCAGAGCATGCAAGTTCAGTTCATCAAGTTTCCTCCTTCGGACAAGCCCGGACGTTCAGGTACCAATAGTAACGGTGATGCCGTTATTGACCTGGGCTCGAGAGCGTTGGAATTGAGCAGACTGGGAGCTAGGTTTGCGCCGGGCTACTTTCTGGACTTTGTTGTCAAGGAAAACGACCCAAACATTGATCTACTCTTCGTCTCCGCCCCCGAAACCGGCCGCATCAAGGCTAACTCGTCTTCTTCAACGCTCAAGTACTACGAGCACGGAAACTGGATCGACATCGGAAGTAGGGCCGAAGATGTTGGTTTGGTGACGAAGCCATTCGCTGCTGCCAAGCAGCCCGTCGGCTTCGGGAACGAGCTCGCAGTCCAGTTTGACGAACCTAGTACCGAATTTGCCGTTCTCACCAACACTGGTGTTCACATCATCCGCCGTCGACGACTGGTAGACACCTTTGCTGCTGCTATTCGAGGAGCTGTTGGTGATGAAGGCTTGGAGATGGAGACTAGGAAATTCATTTCACGCTACGGACGGGTTGAGACCATCTCTTGCGCCCTTGCTGTTGCTTGCGGACATGGTGGGGATGCCAGACCTGGTGCCACGCGCGCAATTGATCAGGCAACGGAAGACCGCGCTCGGGCCGTGTTTGTCGATTTCGGCGGACAACCTACCATCACCGAGGCCGACGGCACACCTCTCAACACAACATCTGTTCGCCTGTCTCCCAGACATGATGCTCTTTGTGTGTACCTCACCCGCCTCATTCGTACACTTTGGAAGAATCATGTCGTTGCTGCTGCGGCAAACCCCGCTGGTGGCATCGCAATCCAGTCCATGGTTCCTGTCTCCAGACTTCACTCTATTCAGGAGCAGCTGGAGCGTCTCCGCAGGTTTCTCGACGCAAACAAGAGCTTTATTCAGGGCCTCTCTGGTCCCTCCGACCTCCAGAGGGTAGCCAGCAAGCAAGAGGAGGTTGCTCTCCAGGCAGAGCACCAGGCGCTGCATGCGCTGCAAAAGCTGATGGAGAGCATCTCAGAGGGTATTTCTTTCGTCTTGATGCTTTTCGACGAGCGCGTGAGCGACATCTTCACCAGGCTGGATGCGACAGCCCAACAAGACTTGAGGAACCTCACATACGAGAGTCTCTTCTCACAAGCTCCCGGAAAGGACTTGGCCAAGCTTCTCGTCAAGTCGATTGTCAACCGTAACATCGAGAGCGGTTCCAATGTCGAGACGGTGGCGGACGCTCTGCGGAGACGCTGCGGCAGCTTCTGCAGCCCTGACGATGTTGTCATCTTCAAGGCCCAAGAGCAGCTAAAGAGAGCATCCGAGCAGCCGCTCAATAGCAACCCTTCCCGCACACTTTTGCACGAGAGCTTAAGACTCTTTGAACGTGTCGCCGGTGCTCTCTCCTTCTCCAACCTTCACAACGCTGTGTCTCAGTACATTGATCTGAAGTACTACGCTGGCGCCATTCAACTCTGCTTGACCGTGGCCCGCGAGAAGGATAGAGGAAACAGTGCCCTTTCTTGGGTTCACGATGGCAAGCCCAATAATGACCCTCGCGCGAATGCCTTCGCCGAACGCCGGAAATGTTATGAACTCATACACGAAGCTCTGCAGCACCTGGACGCTGCATCGAGCAGAGAGCCCGAGACCATCGACGGGCGCCTGACGCTGATCGGAACCAAGCGCCTCGAAGCCTACAGTGTGGTAAATGACTCGGACGATGAGGTCTTCCACTTTGACCTTTATGAGTGGTACATTGAACAGGGATGGACCGATAGAATTCTTGCCATCGAATCGCCACACGTCATCACATACCTCCAGAGCTTGGCCAGAACCAATGTGGAACATGCGGACCTACTCTGTAGATTCTACACACAACGGGAACGGTATTTCGAAGCTGCTCAAGTTCAGAACGACCTTGCGCAATCCGAGTTCGCCATCGGCATTAAGGACAGAATCACCCTCCTTAGCAAGGCAAAGGCTAATGCCAACGTCGCCACGGCCGGTGTCGGTAGACAACAGCAGCAGGTCCTTGCTCACGAAGTCAGTGAGCTTCTCGACATTGCCAACATTCAAGACGATCTCTTGGAGAGGCTCAAAGCCGACAGCCGCATTGCTCCCGAACGAAAGGCAGAGATTGAGGAGGCGCTCGATGGCCAGGTTGTATCGTTATCCGACGTAGGTTGTCACGTTAACCCGGTTGCAGTACAAAACTGACATCTGTTAGCTCTTCAACCAGTACGCAGATCAAGCCAACTATTATGATCTGTGCCTCCTCATTTACCACAGCGCCGATTACCGTAATCCGACAACGATCGCCCAAACCTGGATCAGCCTTATCAGGCAGATCCACGAGGAAGCGGTTGAGCGGATGGAGGAAGCTGGACCTGGCATTCCTGTCCTCCCCTCACCGTACGAATCTGTGTCTGTCAAGGTCCAGAACATTGCCCACCGGACCTCGTTAGACAGCTTCATCTTCCCCGTACCCGTCCTTCTGCCGGAAATTTGCCGATACGCTGTCGAGCATCACCAGGATGCTGAGATTGGCGTCGACCCTACCTGGCCAGTACAACTGTTTCTCAGTCTTGGCGTCTCTCACGATATGGTCACTCGCGTCCTCGAGAGTGTCTTTGACACACAGGACTACGGTTTCAGCGGCAACAATCGCAACCGCATCATCGAACTCATTGTGTTCGCTGTTGATGTCTGGCAGCGCGAAGTGAAGCGCCGTGGCGGTGCTTCGATGAAGGGGGATGGAGCCATCGGTGCCTGGGTCAAGGACCTGCTTAGCCGATGCGAAAACTCACTTCCTCCTGCTGGCCACGGCTCGAATCCCGGTGGCATGGACCTGGCGGAGATACGGAGACGTCTACGGACTGTTCGGAGAGAGGTGGACGGCCTTATTGAGAGAGGCCCTTCTGGAAGCTTACGTTTCATGTAATGTCTGATATTTGGTTGCATTAGGGGGGAGAAGGGAGTTGGTTTTCAGAAAGAAGACGAGATAAAACCAAAGAAGACTGATTGCGGCCTCAGCCCATGGGGACGGTGAACCCTGGGAAGTGTATAAAGAATAAGAGAGCAAAAGATTACCTTGTATTTGATGGGGCATGGGGTTTCTCCAGGCGCGGCTAGGATAGGCGATGTGGGCTTAGGCTTTGGATGGCTAGTTGAGTTTTTTTCCTGTCATGGACACATTACCAGCGCCCAGGTGCCGGGTGTTTACCTCGATCCGACTATGACAATTCCGTTTTATTGGCTTGCGGCCTTTTCATGGCGATATCCTGCGAGTCCACGACTGATATCACAATCCCAAGATGCTACTTTCTCTCTCTGGCTGCGCTCGTTGAGGCACCCTGCCTGCAGGTCACTCTTATCTAGGCGCAAACCCAATCCCGTTTCTCTCAGATATTCTTGGAAATCGCAATTACTGGGCGTCATTCATCCTTGTGCCAGATGAGGCTGATTGCTGACTGCTGACTTGAGTCTACGCTAGATTGCCTCCTCGGTGATGCGGCGACTTTTCGGGAACTTTTTAAAGTACTACATTCGCTCATGTCATTGATGCCGGTCTATTTAAACACAAGTTGGCGACATTTTTATTCTAGAGATGATCTGCCCGAGTATCGTACTAGATTTAAAATTCCTGCGGCGTCTTAGTTATTAGCATCGAGGAAGTAAAAATGACAACGAAAAACACCCACCCAGACGACCCCAAGGTCCCCATCTTCCGTGCCATGGACACAACCATCGGTTCGCACTGGGAAGAGACCATGATCGATGCGAGCCGCACCATGATGGGGCCACTAAACGCGCGGCTCATCTCGCAGATGGGGCTGGGTGCAGAGACTCACGAGCCCATTGCCTTTTTGGACAGTGCCTGCGGGGCCGGGCCGGCGACGCAGGAGCTGTATAAGACCGTTCCGCGGCAGGTTCTCGAAAAGAGCGATATTGTCTGCGGCGACGAGTCACCGATGATGGTTGACTTGGTGAAGAAGAGGATCAAGGACGAGGGTTGGGCTGGGGCTCAGGGAAGAGTCATAGATGCCATGGTTTGTTGGGGATTCTATGAAACCCTCGGAGCGAATCGCCATACTGATGTTTGTGTAATATTCCAGGACTCCGGGCTGGAAAGCGACTCATTCACGCACGTCGTCATCAGCCTCGGTCTGCATGTCATCCCACGTCCGGACATCGTCATCAAAGACGTCGTTCGGATCCTCCAGCCCGGCGGCGTCTTCGGCTGCATCACGCCGCACGCCGACCACACGAGCTGGGTCGTCGAGATGCGGACCGCATTCGCCTCCTTACCCTTCGAAGCGCCCTTTCCCGACAAGAACTGGTCCCAGATCCACAAAGTCGGGCGGTGGTACGACGAGGCGTGGGTGCGGACGTACCTAGGGGAGAACGGGTTCGGTGCCGTGGAGGTGCGTGTCGAGCGTGGGACGACGCCGATCAGAAACGCGAGGCACTGGCTGGACATCTTTGGACCAGTCGTGGCGTACCTGTTGAACACCGAGTGGAGCGAGGAGCTGAGGGCGGCACATGGGCTGGAGGAGGTGAAGGCCCTTATTGAAGAACACCTGGAGGACAAGTATGGAGGGCAGGGGTGGGAAATGGGTTATGTATCCATTTTCGCTTCGGGGGTTGTGCGGAAGTGAAGCTATGAGAATGGGTGACGTGTCAGCCAGATCGAGGCTGAATGAGAGGTCCTTCGACGGACCTTTGCGAGGCAAATCGTGTCGGAGAGTAGACTTTTTAGAAACTGATTGTTTCCACCGAGAATAGCTATCTTTCAACCTGGGGTCCTAAAAAGACCTTCGGGACTAGATATGCACGTCTTATGTGGTATGACTTACCTGAAGGCTCACTTTTAGCATCATCAAAGCCACTGGTATGTACACACCACAATATAAAAGTGGCATCCAATGTGTCACGTAACAAAACGATACCTTTAGTTACGTGGGCAGTAATAGTAGCTTATATATCGTGACACAATACGTGCCGACCAATTGGTGTCGGCTAAGAGTCTAAAAAGACCTCGCAGGCCGGGCAGGAGACCAATGGGCCTTATTTGTCATCAGTTGGGCTTACAACGGCCGTAGTCCGATTGCAAGGTCATGGTGCAGTGTGATTCCGAACCGCTTGACTTACCTCAATACGGAGAGTATATGATGGCACGGAACCCCCTTTACATCGAATTCAGATGGTCTAATAACATGTTGATCTAAACATTATATCAAGTTCTTGAACCAGAGCACCTAAATTAGTCGTCCATTTCAACCACTTTTAGTTCATCCGTGAATTCGGTTGCATACCCACACATCACTATGGAACTCAGCCTGATGCCGGAGACCGTCTGTATATTTGTCGGCAACTGGGGCAGGTCGACACTCTTTGACGACACTAGCGACAATCTTGAGTCGATCATCTCACCCCGCACTGCAATGCTCCTCGTACAGGACCTTATCTTCCGCCCAGCACCAACTTCGTTTGCACTACCTGCTCCGAGATCTCTCATCGCTATGCCGGCCGACACAAACCTAGCTCCATTTCAGCGTCCAGAAAGCCAAGAAGACTGGAAGTTAAAGAAGGAGATCATCCGCAGTCTATATCTAGACGAGAACTTGCCACTTGAGAAACTTATGAGCACAATGTCATCAACATACTCTTTCTCGGCTACGTAAGTCTCTCTAAGTCCGCCGAGTGCCTGACATGAAGGTTCACTGACATTGGATCAAAAGTGAGAGAATGCATAAGCGACAGTTGTTGAGGTGGAATTGGAGAAGGTACAACACCAAAGGCCGCCAGCAGAGCCACATCAACGGTGAACTTTTGGAGACTCGTTGCGGAAAGCCCACTTGTAAACGGCCGACGAGACGACGTGTGATGGGCTTGACGGACTAGACACGGAACTCTTCAGGGCGTGGTCATGCTTGCCATGGTTCACGCAAAGTGGAAGATTTCCAACAGTATGGCGCTATCATTTGCCAGGCGTTTCGTACGGTTGAAACACCCATCGACAAAGAAAGTTGCACTATCATCCAACTGTTGCTTCTAGACGTTCCGTGGGAACTATTATTCGATGAGCGGAATAAAGCGCTGCAGGTTTATCGAATCACGCTTCCCAGATGCTGAATGCCAAAAACCCCGGACAGCCCATTGCAGCTATGGCGAAGACCATGCGTGCAATATTTCTCGAGGCCCCAGGCCAGTTCTCGCACTCACTGGAGCAACTACACGGCGTGATTGCAGAGTGTTTCATCGCCACCCGTGGCCCCAATGACTTGACTAGTCTGGGTGCACGACAAGAGGCACTCATGATCGTGAACGACCATGAGGTTTCAATTTCAGAAATTGAAAGTATTCTCGAAATTTACAGTGACCTCTTGGACAAGGCAATTGGTTTATTCAGGGAAGATTCACAAGAAGCCATGACAATCAAATCGTATTGTATAAACGCCATGGTGTAGCTGAGCTATTAGAATAGCTTTAAGCACTTATACAAAAGTTATATACGTTGCATACAGATTTATCACAAGGTGATGTAAGGCGTTAGTTATACTACCTGTAATTAATAGTGTTACTTTTAGTACAATAGTTATAAGCCTAGTGTACACTATATACCTTAATAGTATAGCCCTTAAGCTAGTGTCTAAGCTTTATAGACCTTGTAGGTTTAAATTCCATTAAGGCTAAGGATAGGTTATAAATACTCTACCTAAATAAGTTAGACAGTAACTACCTAGACTTTAGTAAGATATACTTAATTAGAAGGTTAATAAGAGTTATAGTAGTATTTACCCTAGGGGAGTATATACCTTCAGGGGGCTATAGAGGCTTCCTTCCTAGAGTAGATCTACATAAGCAGGGCTACATGTGATCTAGTTATACTACCTGTAATTAATGGCGTTGTTTTTAGCGCAACAAGCTTAAAAAAAGATACCACTAGGATAATTAGGATTGAGAGGGTCTTAATTGCGTTGCTTGGCTGCTATGGGAATTAGCTAGATTTCATGATAACGCTGACAACGTCGACTCGCACATTCTTGATTTAAAAGAATGCATCTGTATTCTTAAATACATGGTCACAAAGCATAGAAATGTTTATGGACGCGGTACTTGGGCAGTAGTATCTTAACTGGAACTTATCGAGGTGCTGGGTTGACTCGGTCGACTCCAAGAGGCTTCAGAAGTTAGACTGGACATGGCAGGATCAGGTTACCTGAGAGAAGTGGTGGACAATGATGAGTGCAATAGTTTTGAGGTCTAGCGTCAATTGGGGAGGCATGATGGTTTCAGATATACGTCTTCAGTTATCAAAGGTGGAACCCTGGCGGTGCATAATGGCCCAGGCAAAATCATGCGCTGGAATGGAACCAGGTGTCGAGGATACACTCTGAAAGACGATATCAGCCAACAATGACATAGAGGGGCAGCATGATTGATGCTCAGGGACAATGCATCATTGCCGCGGTTGTCACCAGTCTTTGACATTGCAAACCCTGTTCCTATTTTAAGCCGCCTTTGTTCTATGGGCGTTATGGTGCTTGAAACCTGGTGTTTATCAAAATAATGTTTGACATGTCGAACAACGCCTCTATGGCGAGGCCGGCCCAGCCTCTCGACAAATGTTTGCTCGTAACCGCAGAACAAAGCCAGAGTCTAAGTATTACATGTGAGGAATGGAACAGAGATTTTGGTGCAGAGTAGATCAAAGCGAGTAAGTCCATCTCGTCCGCACTGAACAATCTGGACTAACGTTGTGAAGAGTTCAAACAAAGATTGGTATTCGTATCAAAGCTGCACGTGATATCGACGAGGTGGGGCCACCTTTATCCCTTATCAGGACCCGGACGGAGCGCAGGGGGGCCTCGGCGACAGCTGTTATTTTTCGAATGCCCATCCTGCAAAGCCCAACTCTGGGGAAAGCTGATCCCGGGATTGCATTCCGTTGCGTGTGTCCCTTTCCGAGTCAAGGCAATGCCCCGGTCGACCTGAAAAGACCCTTTTTCGTTCCAAATCACAGTGGCGGTCCCTGCTGCTGCTGCCGCTTGCGAGAGACGACGTCGAAAACACGCACACCGCGCGCATCATGGCGTCCTATGCGCAATTCCTGCTGGGCCTTGCTCTCTGCTGCATGGTCCAGCTCGTCGCTGCGCATCCCGAGGATGGCCTCCCTTCGTACCACTACGGCGCGCCCATCCACGTCGAGTGCATGAACCGCAGCTCGTGAGTATAGCCCGATGCCTTCGTCGGCTTGCGAGATACAACTGGCCTCGCAGCTACTTTATCCCATTCATCGGCTTAGCTTCTAGCTAACACATCTCTCTCCTCCCTGCAGCGAAACGGGTGAACACATCGAAAACTCCAACCACGAAATCGAGTGGATCCCCTTCCCCGTATGCGAAGAGACGAACAAGCCCCTCGAGTTCCGCTACGGCTACGAGGGCGAGCTGAACTGTACCATCCCTATGGTCTCGGATCCCTTCTTCCACCTCCTCGAGTTCTTCATCCACAACGACGCGCCCCTCGCCTGCCGCTTGCCCGCCCGTCCCGCCCCCACCATCGAGGTTGTCGGCGAGAAGCCGTACGAGCAGGAGCACATCCCCCTCGTCTTCGCCCTTGCCGGCACCCTCCAGCGGAGCCACCTACACGTGAGCACCCACATGAACGTGCTGCTGCACAGCATGCCCAAGCACCACCTGCGGCCGCACGACTCGGGCGTCCTCGACTCCGGCACGGCGTACAGCACAAGCCCGCTAAGCCACATGGATGGTATCTACACGCAGAGGCTGGTCATTGGAGACCCGCTGCCCCTGCGGCTTTCTGTGAGATGGTTCCCTACGCCGAATTTGCCCAAGTCGGAGGGCCACGTCGAGTGGCAGGGCATGGGCGGCCACATCTACGCGAGCACCGTATTCTACATCGCCGCGTCCTTCATGGCCGGCGTGCTCGTCGCGGCGACGTACTTCTTCGGTGTCGTGCTACCCAAGAGGCTGCGGGGAAGGGGTCTGGGCGGCGCTACCCCGCTGGGCTACGGCCTCAACGGTGTCGGTAATGGTTGGGGATACTCCAAGACCGCCAAGCGGATGGACTAGAACAGGTCTCGCAAGAGGCGGGGATTTGTATGATTATTTTCGATTCATGTATATTTGACGCCGCCTTTCTGAATGGTCTTTGTGACGGACGCTCGGAGTTCATCTTGGGAACGAAAATTTAGCTGGGCTATGGCCTTATTCTGTACAGAGTACGATGTGGACTGGAAAAGGAGTTTGGGACAGGTTGACTGGAACTGGGCATGCTGTCTGACCGAGTAGGATGGCATGATATCCTCAATGGAACCACGGCTGCTTGGAATCAAACACACATCCGCTTTCTACTGCAACTTCGCCTTTTCTATGACTTGCACCCTTCTGAGAATGCGCAGGCACATGTCCACCCCCATCAGTGCCGCTACGCTAGTCAGTGCTGATATGAGCTCTTCCATGAGAATGTGAACTTACGGATTACGACCCAAGGGCCATATAAGTTGAAGATGAAGACGTTCTTTTGGGCTTGGCTATACACGGCCGGGTCCCAGTAAAGGGTGTCGTAGATGCAGGTTAGCGTCGTCAAGGCGCACTGGACGGCGAAGACGAGGACGGCGAGCTCGAAGCCGGGCGTCGTGCCTGTCCGCCTGGAGAACCCGTAGACCATCCAGACGGCCATGGGAAGCTGGTAGAAGATCTCGATGTAGCTGAACAGCTTGAACCATGAGGGAAGGCTGTCGTGCGGCGTGACGAAATAAAGGTCATTGTACGTCTGGATGTAGAAGTCGCGGAGCAGCTGCAAGAAGTGCAGGGGCGACGACGGGTCTGCGTAGAGGCTGGACGGGTAGAAAGGGACCAGATCAACCACTGGTGGACGACTTTGTTAGTTTGTGCTCCCACAGAACATAACGGGAATAATGAGATGGCTTATGGGAATAACGACCGAGTTATCCCACTTGGCAAGTACGGCATCAGCGAGCTCAATTGACATTTACTCAACTCAAAGGCCGCGTAATTGAAGCCTTGCAGTGAAAATCGAACAGGTAGTAATGATTTTGAATGGTGTGCGAAAGATTATGGACTCACGCAGAATTGCTGAAAGCTGGATGCTTGAGATGACGAGGTACGCGTTATCGCGCCATGTCCTAGGTAAAGCTGACATAATCTCAAACACAGCGAATGAACGCAATCGCTTAATGTGCCGTATGAAGAGTATGTGCAAGCGTGACACTCGAGAGCTAACGCGACGAAGTCTTAGAAAAAGCTTAGGTTGACGATGAGCGTGCGTGGTGAACTGGGAGGAAAGGCGGAAGGCCGGAATTCTCGGTCAGGGGCATAGAGGCCACGATGACATAAGCAGCAGGGGTTAGTTCACTTAAAAGTTAAATCAATGGAGGACTGCAAAAAATAGCTCAAAGTGATTACTGTCAAGTTCTTGGCCCTATGAAATTTGGGTGATCTGACTTTACGGATACTTTATCCAAAATCACTAATTTCTCCGATATCGGAGTCGGATTGGGGAGTAGTCGCAAATAGTATAATCCAACTAGATATGAGGTTATCACCAAGTCATTAATGGCAGGGGAGACAGCCATTGGGGCTTATAATTTTGTTGAATTTCCTTCGGGAAAAGCTGTGTCAATGTCTAAAAGTCATCTGAGAGATTGTTACCATTGTGATAAACGATAATTACTGACCGATGAGATAACTAGTGACAGGCGTAGGCCGGATTCGATATATTGGTTGCTATTGCTCTTTACAGGCGCGCCGGTCATATAGAAGTCTACCAGTGAGATGCAGGCCCTGTAAGCTTAGCCATCCCTGGCTATCAACTGACGATGCTAAATGAACAAAAAAGAACTTGCTGTGGAGATACTAGACATAAGAAACCGGTCATTGACATAAAACAGCAGGAAATCCGAAAGTACGAAATGTACCTGACGTGATTTGGTAAAATAACATTCTCATTCAGAATAGTTCCCGCACCTCAATGGAAATTAGTTCAGAATCGAATACAACCAACAAACCGTATCCCGATAATGTGCCCCAAGCCATATAAAAGCAAAGTTTCCGGTTCTTGACGATAGATGATATCACGATCCCCTGTGTTCTGCTTCAAGATTCGCCAACAAACACGTTGCTTTTGTTTACTAGCCCATTACATCCACACAAACATGGTGGTCAGCAACGTGATGAACATGAAGATAGAGCCCACAGTTGCAATAGAGGCAGTGCTTCCTCCGTTTCCATTGCCTCCGCCATTATTGCCGCCGTTACCTCCATCGCTGTTCTTGGCCATGTCCACTGTGAAGAAAGTGCCCCCGATCGGCCGGCCCAAACCGGCCTGTTTTCGGAGTTGGGAAATCTGAGAGAATCAGTTTGGAGTCCGTCTTCTGGAATGACTTTGGGTTGTCCCATACGCTGAATTTCTTGCGTTCCTTCATATCGACACCCATCGCGTCGAACCCCATCTTATTCATCTTCTCGGGCTGAACGTAGAGTAGGTACACGTATCTGTGCATACCGCTTCCTGATTTGGGGTCTGGTGCCATGTAGTCGTTGAAAGCGGGTGTAGAATTGCGCATAATCAATGCCGATGAGAGGATCTCAGATTTCGTTTGTTCCACCGTAAAGTTACCGGCGAGATAGTACCTCATGTTCCGCTCGGTTGGTTCCTCGCGTGTTGGCGAATCGGGCCCAATCTGCAAAGTCTCATCAGCGATTGCATCCAACGTTGATTTCTCGCGACGAATTTATTTACCATACAAAGAATGTATCGGGTATTCCGAGTGACATTTTGTGCATTCATTATATTTTCAACGCTGAATTCGAACGGAAGCTTAGTCTCCATCAATTGGAGCTTGGAACCTGGCATCATGAGGGTTTTGTTGCCGTCACCGGACTTGTAGCCTGCATAAAAAGACACCGTGGGATTGAAAGAACCCATGACATCTGGAATGATTCCAGCATTCAAGAACGCCTGTCGGAATTCCTTTGTCGACATGCTCCTCGGTGGGGGTGGCTTGTCCCCGAGGGCACAACCCAATGCGGCAAACAATGCCAAAAAGCTGGTGACTGACTTCATCTTGGGAAAGGTACTCGGGGCTTTGCAGACTTGAATGCAGAGTAAGGAAAAGGCTGGTGTTCAAGATTTAAAGAACTACGATATGCAGCCAAAGTGTTGAAAGCGGAAGGACGAATTGCGCGTTCTGGCGCCAGGCCTAGCAAAGTTTGAGCTCAGGATTTTGAGTTGATTCCATCTTCTGTCCGCACCTCGGCACCAGTGCCACATCCCGGCCTCGTGGAGCAAGAAGATTCAGATGGCCTGCGTAAACCAATCTTCGATGGCATGGGACACTGAGTATGCTCTGATGATGAGACAGATAAGGTGAGGCTGTTTGCCTCAGAAGCTTCTGATGCTACCTAATGGGGCGACGTGCGCGGGGTACCTTAGACTTTGCCTCGCAAGGTTCCAGGGAATTATACGATCTGCGACATTGATTGGATGAATGTTTAGGGAGAGGGGAATGAAGCTTTTGATGTAGCTCATACTTAATCAACATTATCCTGGAAGGGTATCCATATCTCCCGGGTCGCACCGCTACCCTGGACCAACATGTCCGTCATCGACTGACAGGCCCATGCTAAGAGCAAACAAACCCTGAACCTCGGAAAACCCATGTAGTTTAGTGATTTGGACATAGTCTGTGGTTAGGTTCTGCCCATGCTTTTCGGCTGCTCCCAGAACAGACATTAGAGCCGTTAGGGTGAATGGAAGCGGAGAACGGAGGCCAAGGTTTATTAAGATTAGAAATGAACCCCCTCTTTTCTGGCAGCTTGACTCTTTCAAGCTATCTGGACAGAATATTGCTCAGTAATTTTCAATGCAATAATAGAATCAACTGATATGACCACAATCGGTTCTGAAATTTTGCTTGATGTCATAAGTCGTTCGGCAATTCGGCTCGGATAATCAGTAAGCCTATCATTGCATGTTGGCTTCTGCCTGAAGCCGAGGCGCTCAGTCGTAATGTAATCTTGAATATTATTAGTTACTGTTTGAGTGCCTTGTGAGCCTCTACGTATATGATGATACTCGATTCGAAAAGAGTCTATGACAGGAAAGTTACTTGAGATATGTGGGCTCCTATAAACTTGCTTACATTTGTGTAGGCGCACCTTCACTTGAGAAGCCCATAAGTTGACGAACAATTGCTGTGCACGCCCTTTGACCAACCAAATCGTGAATTATTGAAATGATTCAGTAATTGTTGAAAGAGAAGTAGGTCACCCGACGAATTAGGTGCCAATAACATTCAAGTTTCTGCGTTAAGGCACGAAGAAACTCAAACGGCGCGGCATAGTTCGTCAAGCTGTGTTTGGTAGCAATGATAACCGGCATCAACTCGAAGAGTTTATCAAAAGCAGGGTGGACACAAGGAGTTATGGGTCGTCCTTGGTCGGCAACTGGAATCCGCCAGGTGTCTCCAGTTTTGTCCAAACTCCACAAGAAGTCTCATACTCTGTAGTAAACTGGGCGGCAGTATTTTTTGACATTAGCCTAAGTACCCGAATCTTTAAACAACCATTGGCAATTGCGGCAGAAGTCAGGTTGAATGCGTAACGAAGGCGCGATGTACATACAGGAGGACATGCCGAAATACTTATACTTTCTACTTCAGGAGAACTTCGTGCCTCTAGGGAGAAAGGTTAACTTAAGTTAGAGACTTGGCGTCCACTCGACGGCCTCGTGGATTGATCTTAAATGACAGCGTGTGTAGAGTACATCAGTTCCATGACGAAGAGGAACTTATCTTGACGTAACCAAAGGTTTGCTTCCGTGAGGAATTTGCACAGCAAAGCAAAATCTAATTCGATCTTACTGGCTTGGCTATTGATAGCAAGGCACACAATTGATACCTTGTGATGGCAAAAGCGGATCCGTAATTGCCACTGCGTAATTACGGCCTATATCACGATATACCTCCAGTAAAACAAGGTATTGGGAAAGGTCTTATCTCTTGTTCATGATCAGCCAGACTCGAGCGCTTGGCCAACTCAACTGATCAATCAGAGAACCTGTTCCATTACCATTCGCCTTTTTGAGCAAACCCCGGGTAGGGTTAGAGCAGAAGAACTGTCGAGGATCGAAGGCCTGTAAAACAACACCCGGATTTCTCACCTTCCAGCTTAGCTGAATTTCAGTCGGTTAATCGGCCTACAAGCGGAGGAAAGGTTTTGGTGAAGATTGTGGCTCAGTGATGCACGGCTAGAAACTTACCTGCTCTGGTGTTTGGCGAGCATGATTAATTCATACGATATCGCAAGTCACAGATGTGAGCGCCGATAAGTGTGGCGTTAACCAGTACTACTCAGTGTTTCCGGACATGTCTGTACTGAGGAAAGATAATTGAGCCAAGAACACGGATGATCCCCCACTCTTCCGTTGATTGCTAACTATCGGGACTCGCAATCTCTTACTCGTAATGACGTTATGCACTTGTGCTTGTCAATTTAGGCAATTCTGGTTGTCAATTCGGTCAGTCACATTAGCCGGTTCATCCAACCTAGCGCTGTCGGCAGATTGGCTTCTGCTTTCTATTATTATCATTGGCGGGAGGTACTTTGTATTGGTTCCGTACTTCCAATAAACCGCAACGCCGCTTCTCACCATGTGAAGGTCTATCAAAAGGGGCACAGATTATTTCGTATGCGTGCAATCCTCATGAAGTCATTGTCTCGGTGCTTGATCGCTTGATGGGTTCCTGAAGTCGGGCTGGGTTGAAATCTTAGCAATCAAACTTCTGGGTACAGATCCTTCGGGGAGTATCGGCACCGAACCGCCACACCCCTCCTTTGTGCCGCCCTCCCACGTTGATGAGACACGTTTGCGAGAATCCCCCGCATCCTGGATTTGGGAATAAAATCACGGCGATTAGCCCTCATAAACACTCTGAAACTGTTCCCGACTTTCAAGGTCAAATCACAGCAATCGGTCTCTTTCAGCCAAAAATGTCTGTTATCAAAGTCGGGGTCGTGGGTTATGGCTTTGCTGCCAAGAACTTTCATATTCCTTTTATCGTAGCAAACAGCGATTACGAGGTCATTGCCATCCTGCAAAGAGCGGAGGCACCGAGCGACCCGTCTTCAGTACCAGCTGGTTCCCATTGCAAAATCGACTTCCCCAACATTAGACATTACCGCAATGGAGATGATTTCTTCGCCGACCCGGACATCCAGCTCGTCGTCGTAGCTACCCACACTGATACACATGCGTCTTATGCCGAGCAAGCCCTGAAATCAGGAAAGCACGGTATGAAAACCTCAGTATCCCTCAAGAGCTGTCTAGCCTCAAGTAGTAAGACAGGAGCTGACGAAACAATAGCCATTGTCGACAAGCCTTTTGCAAGATCATCCGAGGAGGCAGACCGGGTCATCGAACTTGCAAACAGCAAGGGTCTAATCCTGACGTGCTTCCAGAATCGCAGATGGGTACTAAAGTCAACAAAGTTTTACGTCGTAGTCTGCCCGAAAACTGACACGCTTTCTAGGATGGCGACTTTCAAACTTTGCGAAAGCTCATCAGTGAGAACGTGCTGGGTGACATCAAAGAGGCTGAGATTCACTACGACTTCGAATCGCCTCCTTGGCTAGCTGGTATGACCAAAAAGGAGTACACCCCCGGTGGTGGCATGGCTTTCGGTTTGGGTAGGCAGAAATCTCTCCGTGGTCCAAAGCGATAGCTAACCACCGCGCGGCATAGGTACCCATAGCATCGACCAAGCTGTTGTTCTCTTTGGCCGTCCGAAGTCCGTGACTGGTTTCTTTCGCACACAACGAGGTATAGAAAGTGAAGTCGAGGATTCCTTCACAATTGTATTGCAATACGACGGCCCACAGAAGGACCTGCTCGTCACAGTCAAAACCTCGGTTACCACACCCATGGCACAGCAGTTGAAGCACCTCGTCAGGGGAACTAAGGGTTCATGGTTGAAGGTAACTTCTGCTTCTTCGAGTCGACCAACCGGACTCTACTGACCTTGTGGGTAGTTCCAACAAAGAAGCACTTGTCCCCAGGAAGAGCAGATTGCTGAGGGCCGCAGGCCGCTGGAGCCAGGGTTTGGCGAAGAGCCGGCCGAGTTGTACGGAACTCTGACTACTATCAAAGAGTTCGATGGCAAGATACAGCGTTTTGACGAAGCAACAAACAAGTATGTCGGCAAGTATCCGTCGATTGTTGGTCGCTGGCTAGGTCTCTATGAAAACTTGGCCGACGCCATTAAGGGTAAGGCTGTGTTGGAGGTGAAAGCGACTCAATCTCGCGATACGATTAGGATTATTGAGCTGGCTAGGGAGTCGCATAATACTGGATCCACGCTTGCCTGGAAGTGACGGTATTTATATTGCATGGGTTTGCCCATGGTAAGTGGCGTACATATGGCGTCTGAGAAGTTGAATGTTGATCTCGTCTAGCATAAAGCAAACTTTGTGCTATGAGTGTCAAAGTATTCAGTACTGTTTGTTAGATTGTTCTTCGAATGCCCACTTTCAGTCCGCTCGATGGGAAGTGGAAAATGTTGTGGACAATGTCTCTAAATGACTGTTCGAGTTTCGCAAGTGACACATACAAACGCCGTCAAGCTCGTTATAACAATAGGAAATGGTTATCACAGCCTCTTATGAACGATATTTTGCATCTTCCCGTAATGAAGGACCAGTGCCCGCATTTGAAGACGGCCGAGGCCCATCACTGAACTATTAAAGGCCCATTGCTATTTGTCTGATGATATACGAAGAGGGTTGTGGCTGAGTGGACCTCATGTTTTCTAAAACAGAGATACGAATGTCTGAGTTCTTACGAAAGGAAATAAACTCAAATTCTTTCTTTTTTTAAGACTCTTTGCGCGGAGAGTATATTATGAACAAGGCTGGAGTATCCTCGCCCATTAGTTGTCACTCCCACAGGAACCGCAAGCCTTGCTTGGCTCATATGAAATGCTAGTATTCCCTTCCTTATTAGGTTTCGATAAGAGTATACAGCATTCTAAACTCACAATATTTTGCAGCATCTATTCCTACCAAGAGGGCACCTTGCTCGACAAGAACCCACACCATTCTCAAACGTGGCTGGTCCGACCTATTCGACTTTGGATTGAGATGAGCCTTCGTTTCCCGATATTCGAGACGGCCTCAGCGCAGAGAATACCATTTCCTTTTCCGAGCCGACTCATCGCGTCAATATTGACCCTGTAAGTCTTCAGGGGATACCACCTGCTATAGATAGATCTATGGATACCGCGATGCTGCTGCGTCCAGGCCCGAGACAAGGCCAAGGCTGTTTAACTTGAGATAACTTCAATGGAGTTTCTTACTTAGCCCTAGTATGTAACGTCAGAAGGCTTGCCAGTATCAGATATTTAATTATACATAATATACACATCGGACAAACGGAAAAGAAGGAAATATTAAACTGGTAGGCCTTGCAAACTATCATCACCAGAAGGGGACAGCATGAATCAATCTGGTTACGCTTCCCTGCGTCGCCCATGGTGAAGAATATCTTTTCGCACGTATACTCTTCTGACAAAAGACAAGGAACCTGCTTCTTGTTGAGGGCTCTGAAATGAAGTTTGCCATGTGGCGATGCACTTGTAGCCCTAGTGAAGGTTTTAGTGCATCCAGTCTCGGCAGCATGTGAGCACAGTATGTTAGGCTTCAGGTGCAATTCGCCATGAGTGTGTCTTCCACTGTTTGTTTAGTCGGGAACGTTTTGTTGCTGTGGTATACCTCAGCTAGGGGGCATGGGTGTATTCGGTCATTTCGGAGCGGGTGAGTCAAGGCATGCCTCTAGACACCCCACCTTTCTGGAGAGAAAACTCTTCTCGCAGTTCAGTGTTGAATTTGTCTGCTACAGGACAGAGCCACCTCATCTAGTATTGACTTGCATTCTGGTCTGCTGCACCTGCGCTACAAAAGCTTTGGGGTACAAGGATGTTGGAGTGCAACTGGACAGGGAAAAGGTTTTAGGTTCTGGGCATCTCGACGGGCATTCGCCTCAGTTTTGCTGTTGAACTTGAGGCTGCAACCGAATCTTATGGCAACTCAACTGGGCACTGATAACGAGAGCCGGGGGTGAGCGGTCTAGTCTGCGAATCTGTACCTGTTGTCGTGCAGAGACGCCATGCAACGTCGCCACCCGCCGCAATTCACTTACCCTTCCTTGCCTCGGCCAATAGAAGACCGTGTGGCACCAGATGAGTTGATATCGCACGGCATACCTACTGAAAGCACTTTCCTTAGATTGTTACTTAAGGATGAAATAGTAAAAGTCTCCTTCAGAGGGATAAAAAGACATATAATAACGTTTGGGTCCAGGGCCCACATTCGCTTGACGGGGTGTCATTATTCCGGCGGGGTCGTCCCATGGTTCAGATCTTGCTACCAATTGATCGGCGGCTGATTTTTTTTTCCCCCCCTCCATTTTTGTTCAACCCCTCATCGACAAGTCTCGAAACGAGTCTCAAAATGGCAACTCAAGGAAAAAATGCTGGGCCGTCGCCCTACGATACGTATCAGACGTCGTTGACGGCGAGATACTGCAGCCCAGAGATGTCACGGCTCTTTGGCCAGCGCTCTCGCCACTCGCAATGGCGCAGGCTTTGGTTGCTGCTCGCAGAGTCCGAGAGAGAGCTTGGTATCGACACCATCACGACGGAAGCGCTCGAGCAGATGAAGGAGCATCTCGAAGTAACCGACCAGGACTTTGAGGTCGCCAGGGTCGAGGAGAAGATCCGCCGCCACGACGTCATGGCTCATGTACACGCCTTCGGCGCCGTTGCGCCTGCGGCGGCTGGTATTATCCACTACGGTGTAAGTTGGCAGTCGCAGTTCTCTGTCGTCTCAACTGAGTCTAATCGGATAAAATCAAGGCGACGAGCTGCTTCGTAACCGACAACGCGGAACTGATCCTCATGCGCGATGCCATGGATCTTCTCCTTCCAAGACTGGCAAAGGTTGTCTCAAACCTGTGCAAGCTTGCCAGGGAATGGAAAGCAACACCCGCTCTTGCATACACGCATTTACAGCCAGGTAATTTTCGTTGCCAACGCCGAATTGATAGCAATTCCGCTGACTATTCGCCTGCTAGCTCAACTGATTACAGGTATACCAAAAGCAGTGCCCCTTTTCGGACCCTCGACAAAGTCCTAATTTTCGTCTAGTTGGCAAGCGTGCAGCTCAATGGGCCCAAGATCTCGTTTTCGACCTCGAGAGTATCGAACACGTTCGCAATGGGTTGCTGCTCCGAGGTGAGCCGCAATACACGCAGCAGACAGCGAGAGACCGAATAACATGTCATGGCAGGTGCACAAGGAACTACAGGAACTCAAGCGTCGTTCCTCGAGATTTTTAACGGTGACGGCTCCAAGTGCGACCAGCTGAACGCACTGTTGTGCAAGAAGATCGGCTTTCCCGCATGCTACGATGTGTCGACGCAAACGTACACCCGCAAGGTTGACCTGCTTGTAGCCAATGCCATCTGCGGCCTTGGCGCTACGGCACAAAAGATTGCCGGAGATATCCGCCATCTCGCCTCGTGGCAGGAGGCGGAGGAGCCTTTTGAAGACAAACAGGTGGGGTCAAGTGCTATGCCCTTCAAAAGAAACCCGATGCGTTCCGAGCGAATCTCCAGTCTCGCCCGGGAGCTTTTGTCCAAGCAAGCAACCACTGCAAACACACTCGCTGCGCAATGGATGGAGCGGTCACTGGACGACAGCGCCGTCCGCAGAATGGACTTGCCCGAGATGTTCCTCTTGGCCGATGCTATAATTGGCAGCCTGGACAATGTCACCGACGGCATGGTCATTTACCCCCAGGTAATCGCCTCGCGTGTCCAGCAACAGTTGCCATTTATGTGCGCGGAGAACATCATCATGAAGCTCTGTGCCAAGGGCATATCCAGACAGGAAGCCCACGAGCAGATCCGCGTCTTATCGCACCAAGCTGCCCGTGTCGTGAAGCTGGAGGGTAAGCCGAACGATCTCATAGACAGGATCAAGGCTTCAGAGTTCTTCCAACCGATCTGGGCTGATCTTGACGACATGCTGAGACCTGAGCTTTACATTGGCCGTAGCGTTGAAATCGTGGAACGTTACTGTGGTCTGGAAGGCGTGGCCGAGAAAAAGATCCAGCCATACAGGGCTATCTTTGAGAAGTCTGCCACGACGGAGCTTAATGTCTGATTGGCAAATGCAAGAAATGGTCGCTAATGGCTGGAAAGCCTAGCAAAATGTTGCGGCGGGACAGGGATGAAACTTTGGTTTCACTGATAGACAATGTTCAATCCGATATGAAGCGATGCCTTTGAATATTAGAGGTCGCAGACTCAGTTGCATGGCACGACGGGCCCCTGCTACAACGGTATGGATAAATACTGTAAACTTCTTCTAGACGTCACGGATCGTTGGAAGTTGGTTTTTAGGCATGCTCAAAAGAAACAATACCTCAACACATACAATTACGAGTACTGTACAGCCTATGAGTATTCGCAAGCTTACGCAGCTTGAAGCATGGCAAGGACACCTGCCCAAGTCTCACGAACAGTGGGCTGGATCTGACTGGCAGGTAGAGAAAAGCCATAGGTACCCCTGTCTCTCAGTTCAATGGTGTAGGTGTACTTGGACTTAGCAACGCCGTGGACGTAGTCGGTGCTATCGCCAGTCGTGGCATATAAGGCACGGCAGGCATTTCCAATCGTGTAGCTGGTTCCAGAAACGCCGCGGATGCCGGTGGCACCGCGTTGAGCCAGGGCCCTTAGAGCAGCATCATCAGGAGCGACATAGTTGCAGTCGTACCCGAATGCTGGTGACATGAGTGTCAGCGCAAGAGTGACTCAACAAGACTCTTGGCATGCCCAGGAGTGGGAAGAAAAGAACAGTTCAAGATATTTACTTACGCCATAGGATGTACTGGCCGTATGAGTGTATATCTAAAAACATCGTAATGGAGGAGAGCGAGTCAATCTGGGCCTTCAGACCCTTAATCTCGGGCGCGTCACCCGCGGAGGCACCCTTGTAGGTCTCAGAGCAAGGGCTGGTTGAAGCACCTCCTGTAAGCTCCCACTTGTACGGCCAGTTGCGGTTGGGATCACGGCCAATGCAAGAGCTGCCAGTGTTGGTCTGACGGTTCTTCCGCCACAGACGATCGGTGGTCTGGGTGTAGACAAAACCTTTAACAGGGGTCAGCCGTGATCTCAATGATTTGATTTTCACACCATGAACAAATACCGTCAGGGTTGGCAACCGGAGTGATGTAGAAGTCGAACTTGTCTACAACAGACTTGATGGCAGAATCGGACGCAGACTTTGTCAAGAGCTGGTAGGCCAAGTACTCGGTTGTCTGCTCGGAACATTGGTTATCTAGTCTTCTAAAGACAGAATGAGCTTTGGGTTTGTCCTTACCATCGTGCTGATCCACTCGCGAGCGTGAATAGTACCATGAATAACAACGGCTGGCTTGGAACCCTTGCCTCCGCTACCCCAGATGTGAATACCGGTCAATGCACGTCCCTGGAAAGAAGATCCAGCGGTGAAGATTTCAGATTGGCCAGCAAAGCTGCTCTGAAGGTCTTTGAGGAAGGTCAGGTGGTCGGCGTAGCTGTGGTAGGCCGTGAACCATGATTCGCTTGGCACTAGGTTTTGACATAAGCCAAGGTTGAACTCGAAATTCACGAGGCAAAGATATCTTACCAGCATAGACGGTCGACACGTCTTCCTCAGCGAAGGCAGCACCGATGTCCTCAACGAGAATCGCGGTGTTGGCAAGTTGACTGATGGCATCGAGGTTCTCGGGCGAGACGACAACGTCGAGCTTGTCCTTGGATCCGGGATTCAAAACGGTTGCAGCCAGCTCGTTGATCTGCTCCACAACATCTGCAGCGCTCTCGGGGAGAGTGATGCGAAGACCTTTGAAGCCATTGTAGTCAACCTTGGTCGACCTAGGAACAGTCGCACCGAGCGCCAAAGGCACAAGGGCGATAGCCGAGACAATTGAAGCCCTCATGGCGAGCCGGAGCGTTAGCGACGATGACGAGAGTTGGGGTATCTAGAAGCAGAGAAGGCTCAACGAAGGGCACGAAGTTGAGATACTTCCATTTTATAAGCACTTGAGGAAGAGGGGAATATGCAGAATGCCCGCTCATGAGCCGAAAGGCCCACCGCGCGAGCTTTCTCTTTAGCAACCCGGGAACGATATGCAAAAAGGGGTAGGTGATATTCTCGCTGGGGAAGGACACGAAGAGTCGGCGTAACATTGAGTGCTGCCAAGGCGGATGATGTCGTTACTTGGCGGGTGCGCCTTGCCACAACAGGAAGTTCAAGAGCTCATGTCTTGGCAGCAGACGGGGAATTAGGTAGGTGAGAGTGCGCATTGTGGCTGCCCTTGAATGGCGTCGAGTAAGAACCGATTATGGGAGGGAAAGTCACACCAGGGCCATGTCAGAGGCTGTTATTGCTTTTCTTGTGGCTGCAGTTGTGTTCCTTTTTGTCGAGTCTAAGGGTTGACATCTCAGATGCCCGAGGGCGGTTGTGCCCGCTACCTAAGCAAGACAAGGAGTGTATGTGTGCCCCCAGTCTAATCACAACATTGTCCTCTTATGATTCTCATGTGACCTTGGCGCAACATGCACTCAGGACTAAACGATCAGACTTACTGCGTTGTAAATTGTACATAATACATGTTCAGTGGAGATTATAGGGCATGATTGAACTAGATTAAGTCATATATTATCTACCTACGTTTCGGTCTCTTACCAAGATGCTTCTCACAAGTACCTGAGACGCCGAGCCAGCATCAGAAAGAAAAATGCAAACGCGACAATAGAGGCCAGGATCCCAAAGAAGGGAATCAGGCTATCAACATCTTTCCAAGGCACCATGACGTTCATTCCGAACAGTCCGCAAACAACGTTCAGAGGCACGACGACTGTGGCGATAACCGTTACCCTACTTAGGGACTCATTGGTCTGGTTTCCCATGCTAATGTTGTCAATCGAGAGTTGCGCCAGGTAGTTGCTGTGTGACCGCGAGAGAATGGTGTCGAAGTGCACGAGACTATTCATCATCGTAACGGTGTGGTCTTGGATGTCGCCAAGATACAGGGCGATATCAATGTGTGGCGTGACTTCATAGTCTTCGGTGCACCTCTTGGTGAAAGCACGGAGGACATCAGTCTTGCCGCCGAGCAGGCGCATGAGACTCATGACGTTCTTTCGAGTGCAGCCAATCTTGCGGAGAAAGGCTTGATTGTCCTCGACGCGCGTGATGAAAACCTGGTCCTCGATGGCGTCTGCCTCATGTTCAATCTGGTTGATTGCTGGGCCAAACGAATCCACAATATCGTCGCTTCATCACAGTTAGACCAGTACCATGAACGTCCATAGTGTTGCGTTGTTGGGTACCAATGTGCCATTCATTCCTTGGAGTCAGTTTCAACTTACATCAGAGCGTAGCAGATCCAATCGCTACTCAGGGACACATGCTCCTTCAGTTGGGAGATTCGGAACCGCACTTTTGACGAATGCAGATTCGGGGTGAAACTGAAGCTGATAATCCCCTCTTTGAAAACAATAGCGTACACATTGAAAGGATGGTAAGAAGTTTCGCCATCTTCCTCGATGACGATGAAGGACCGGAAGCAAGCAAAATAGTACGTCGGAAATAGCTCAATCTTTTCGCGAGTTTCCTTGTGAATGATATCCTCGGTGGTGAGAGGGTGGATGTCGAATGCCTTGCAGATTGTCCAAACTTCGATGCCGGTCGGGTTGTTCATGTTGAGCCACCAGACGCCGTCAGACTCCCCTTCGGATTCGAATAGAGACCTGATGTTCTCTCCCGGGAGGATAAGGTCCCGAAATTCTGCAGCATGGATGGTCGACTCCAGCGCAGAAGAAAAGAAGTTGAAACGACTCTGCTCCCCCTGATTCACAGTCCTGGGTTGACCATGGGTCACGGTATCTTTCTCGTTCGAGACTGAGGCTGGCCGAGACGCAATGTTGATGTAGTCCCCGTCGGACGTGAAAATGGCGGCGCCCGCCGGGATGGAACTGTCAGGAAGGTTATTGAAGTCCGCGTTGCTAAAGCTGTCACAGTCCTCGGCGTCGATCAAGGTTTCCAAGCACACGAAATCGATAACGAGGCCATCCTTCGAGTTTTCGCGCCTGTTACTATCCGTCACAAAGGCGGTCGCAGGAAACCCCTCCAGGGGACTATCGGCATCCCGACGATACGATTTCCCATCGCCACTCTGCAGGCCATTGTTAGTCCGTTTCGAGTAATCGACCCCTTCCGCCTCGCCGCTCAGGTCGCCCACCTGTCTGCGACTCGCTTTTGGATCGTGTGTATCGGCATCTTGTCCTCGTCGTCTTGCATTGGCAAACGCCTTGACCGAGGTTGGAGGAGACACGGTCCGACGAGTAGATCCAATTGTAGGACGTCGGCTCAGGGGTGGCACCGTAGGCGATTCAAATCTGATCACATTCGCCAAATCGCAGACAAGACCTCGTTCGGTATCTCTTCCACGAACGCTGGCGGATTCCATGCTTGTGGTGGACATGTTGGGGGACAATCGCAAAGGATCGTTTGGCCCCTGGAGGTGTTGCCCATCTGTATGTCGCGCCATTATAATAATCGAGGCGTTGGTCGCAGTACAGTTATCTACAGTCTAACGGCAGGGCGTGTTCATTGTAGTGACCGTGGGAAAAGCGGGTAGTGCCCCGCGGGGACAGATCGTGGGGACCCGCGGGAAAGGCGTATGGGTGTGTTCACCGTTCAAGGGTCTCGCAAGTGGTGTGCTCGTGGATGCTGGTCTTTGGTACGCGTGCCATAGCCGGGTATACCCTTATCAAACCTCTTCAGTGCGCAAACCTCTACCATCCCAATTGTTGAAGACGAAACCCGCGATGAGATTCGGCGATGATTCTACTGGCGTTTCGAGGCTCGGGTACCGGCAATCAAAACGAGTTACGATGGCAGGTTGACAATAGGTAGTAAGCAAGTAAGGTCGAGTCGAGCACGAGACGGTGCAAATTCGGGGGCACATCAAGCTTTTGTGAGTGCAATGGCAGCGAATTAGGCTAACGGAGAGGTCAGGCGTCCGGAAACTATAAGGGTACCCACCCAGCCTTGGGAGGGCGGAGTCTGACCTAACTTTCTGTGCGTGTCTGCCCAACACCATATTGCAGTGTAAGTCTTGTTAGAGCTAGCTCGATCCCGTAGCGATTTAGCGCGGCTCGCCACCACTCAAGTCTCGCCAATCTCGCGAATAAGACACATATCTTGGGGTGACAAAACGGTTGGAATTCCATGTCCGTACAAAACACGGCTCGAAAACCTTAACCCCAGCGCGTCAATGCAACATGAAGGTCATCCCATCTTACGACTAGGATCTACCAGAAACAGCCATCGAATGCCTCATATTGCGTAGATTCAGTAGAGGAAACACCCAGGCTAGCAAAAGCTCCCTTATCTATCGTGGAAAGAATCGGATTGGTCACCGATCAAGATTTGAAAGAAGCACACCCCTGATGGCTTTGGGCACCTGAGCGACTGGGCCTGACACGACAACAAGCGGTCAGTACCGGTTGTACTGGTCATGGAGCTAAGTGCTAGACTCTCATCAAAAGAGGGTGCCGACACCCGGCCGATCCTGCAAGTAAGAGGACGATTGTGTTTAGTACACCACCCGGCTCACCGCTGCCCCGGTAACACCAGTCGATTGGCTTCGACGCTTGACCTTGTTGGCCGATGCTCTTCATTGAAGAACGCGGGATGGTGGCTGCTACTTCTTCTTAATTCTTCTGGATGCCACGCGTTGAACGCCACATGGTTACAGGCCCAGGCCCGAAGGCAACTGAACGAATAAACGCACGAAACCCCTAGCACTGTGAGGATTGGGCTTTCCGCTGGTCATTGAAATGATTCCCAAATATGCCGTCATGGTTGTTTTTCCATGACGGCAGAACAAATCATATTCGGCAAGCCCCTTATCCAGTGGCAGAAGCAATATCATGACATCAAGATCCAGCGAGTGTAGCGAGAGCGTTTTGGAGCTTCGTGTAATCGTACACCTCCCCCATCGGAGTGGACGCGTCTTTGATCAAGGTTCGCGTTTACCTTGACTGTGTGTGCACGGATGTCTTCTGCGACGCCGCGAGAAGCTTGTGTGTGGCGAAGCAAGCTGGACAACATGCATTGGGGTCCTTCTGATGGTGGCAAGGCTGCCAACACATGCTGGGGAAGCGCTGGTTCAGAATCCTAACGACTGTTTACCGGCGACTTCGAATAGGAGATTTCATCGGGCCGCTTGCTGGGGAGACACGTAAAAAATTATTGATACCATGGTCCTAGACGCTTCCAGGGGCGAGGTCGCATGGTCTACCGAGTCGTAAATCAAATCCCGCAGGTGGAAGTCGAGAAAGCCCCGCGCATCGCGGGAGATTGTAGAAACGATCCTTGCTGGAAATTTACCCCAAATGCGTTCTAATACATCTGGCAGTATATTTTTGTATCCGCCCAGCTGCAGATGCCGTGGTTCCGCCCGTCCAGGTTTCTGCCATGCTCCGACCCGGCTCGCATTGCCGTCACTATGCCGATGGCATCGCTGACAGAGCGATAAGACCCGGTCATATAGGTACAATTTCCGTTGGCGTAAAGTCTTGTTCTCGAAGACGGTGAGCCGAGTAGTGACGCACCCTATTGGCCGATGCCGTGCAAGCTGTGCTGTGGCCGAGGTGTAAGTGTCGTTTGCCACCATGAATATCTAAGCTGTCGAATCAAATTAGACTGTGTCATCATTTCTGACCGAGTGAGCAAACTCATTTTATTGCTATGGATAAAGTGGCATTGAACAATTGCGTCACTGCTGTGATCCCTAGCAGATAATTACTGTATGGACGGCAAAGCAGTTTACTGGGTCGCTGGTGTCTATTTTTATACCTTGTAAATGTCCGAAGTAGGAAGCGAGTCATGCTGCCGGGCCGAGTGATTGGCAGTTATTCTAGGCTGGCTTTTCAAGCCAAAGCAAACAGTCGAGAATCAATCCACAATAGTCGACTGAGACGTTGCAATGTGCTTGCACTAATATAGTTTGGACGTCGACCCAGGCGGGGAAGATTATGACTGCGATATCCCATCTTCTTCCCGTACAATCGCATTCAAAACCCGAACGAATGCAAGCAGCAAAACTTGATAAACTTGATGTTTTGCAAACTACACCCAAGCCATTGTGTCCATCTTGCTGCCGGAGTATAGGAAGTCGGCTGCCAAAATGCGATGCTTTCAGTCAATTCGTTTGACTGCTGCTAAGGATCCCTTCACTTTCAGACCGGAGATTCACTATGACAACACATATCAATATTAAACAGCAATGATGGAATAGCCAATCTCACTACAAGAGGTGATTGCCCTAGTCTACAGAGAGAAATCCCTGAGCCTCCGAGTGGTACTATCAATGCCAAGCTCTTCCTTCTCATCGGCGCTCAGCAGGCCCAAAGCCTCACGGCGTGTGGGCGCTTCGGGTTGAAAGTATGGCTTCTCCGCCAAGGACGTCACGCGGGTTCCGTGGCGGGGGTGGTTCCCTTCATAGTCCCAGCTTGCGTTATGGATCGTGATTCTATACTGCGTCAGATCTATCACAGAGACTTTGCCGTGGACTATCACCTACCTGTTGTCCCAAAGGGCGCTGGTGTTGAGGGTCCACTTGAACCGAACCTGGATATCAACACTCCTCTCGTAGACGTCAAATAGGTAGTTGAGAATTACATCGCTCTCCGCCTTGTCGAGGCCGATGATTTGTGTAGTAAAGAGACGGTTCACGTAAAGGGACTTCCAGCCGGTGGCAGGGTGCACGCGGACAAGAGGGTGAGCTCGCTCAATATGTTTGGGGCCGTCCTCGGGGGCGTTGCGTTCGAGGTAGGTGTGAGCAGATTTGTAGATGGCGTACTTGCCGTCAATTATCTTGCGAAAGTCGGGGGAAAGCTTTTCATAAGCTGAGTAGCCGCTAGCCCACAGGGTGTCACCTCCGACGGGCGGGACGGTGTCGTTGTGTAAGTGGGTGATGCCAGCGGGCTGTCTCTCATGAACCAGATCGGTGTGCCATCTCGACGCACCGCCCGGGTTGCGGAAGTTGGCTTTCCTCTCGGTGGCCATCAAGTCAGGCCAGATGACCGAGACGCCGAGCACACCGGGGACTTGAGGGACTTGGGGCTAGTTCATACATCAGATATCCAGCGCCCGGTGAGAAGCAGACCTGAAGATTACGACTCACATGAACCTCGACTTCTCCATAGTAGGCGCCCAACTCTTTCTGCTGCTGGGGGGAAAGGTCTTGGTTCCTGAAGAAAACGACGCTGCGCTCAGCGATCAAAAGTGCAAGCTCATCCTTCTGCTCCGCGGTGAGGTCTTTCAGTTGCAGACCCTCGATCTCCGTGCCAATGTGGGCCGTCAAGTCGGTAACCTTGGTCGCTGCACCAAGCAGGTTCTTCTTGGACTTGTCTGCCCTTGAGCCGGCGTCGATGTACTCTCGCTCCTTGTTGCGGATGTTGTACGCATCGTCAAGAAACAGCGGCCGCGAGGGACGGTAGGGGTATCCGTTGGATAGATCAACACCCGCCTTTTCAAGTCTTGTCTTCGTGCTCTCAGGGAGTCCGAGGGAGTCCTTTCGCGGCTCTGCCACGTCCGTGATAGAGGGGTCAATAGGGGCGGGAACCATGTTTAATATCAGTTCGAACGGAACACGCTGTTGCTAAGATAGGTAGAACGAGACTCGATAGTCGAGACCAAGTTTATCACTTATATTGAACTTTGAAGCCCACCCCGGCATCGATCAGACAGCTTCGACTCCGTCTTAATATACGTTTCTTCTATATCAACAGAGTTGTCGTCATCCAACCAAAGAAATTTCGTTAATCTGATCGCGCTGACCAGAAATACGATGATTACCAATAATCGCGGGGTCAGACCACCCCTCAAGGCACTTAGAAGCGACTGCCATGGCTTCATGTGCATTGGAACTGACGAATGTGGGAATAAAAGCGCAACATCGGATCATACGGTTGCAGAATGCTAGGTTTGAACTCACCAACCCAAGAAGCACGCGGTTACTTCAAACACCATTCACTTTCAATTGGTCTCTAGCCAAACATGATGGAGGGTTTACTCAGCCGGCCGTTGGACCGTCGCTGACTTTCGCCCGCTGCCTCCCTCGCGGGCGCGGATCTGGGGTCATCGGCCATCACGGCATCCAAGTGGGGGTTGCGCGATACAAGGGCCCGATTGTGTGCTCGACAACCAATTCGCAGCCCAATCCCCTTTGAGGGATCATCACCGCACTCAAGTACATTGGAGGCTGCAGTAGTGCCGGAAAAAGAGTTTCTAAGAGGGAGTGGGAGCCTGCAGACGTTTTAGCCTCGTCTTCCCCTCTTCAGATTTACATTGTCTAGAAGAAATTGCTCCCTCAGCTGTCACTGATCGCCAAGCTACCGAGATCTGCCTAGCTCTGGAGAAAAGTGCTTGCTTGGCCAAAGTGTTTGTGCTTTTGATAAAGCTTACTGACACAAGCTCATGCCCAGACTCCTTGACGTGAAGTAGCGGTTGGCTTCGAACCGGGATGTAGAGCCGCACAACATTAGATATCTTCTGGGACGAAATACTAATACTTTGTTGACATGTCCGGTATTACTCATTGGACGGCACCAGAGATGCGCTTATACCCCCAGCACGCAATTATGTCCAGAAACATCGTCAGCGATATGGCTAGATCTTTACCCTGCTATCTCTGCTAAAAGCCCGAGATTCGCCGACAGACCCTGGACATCAACAAGGGGAAAATGTGCAGCTGGTTGTATAAAGTTTCGTGAACACTGTTGTGGAATTCCAGATTTCTCTCATGGCAATTCGGAGCGCACTTGTCTCTTTGCTTTTTCGTTAATATCAGAGAAATTTGAAGCTCCACGTCAATTTGATCGTTCACAATGGGAGCTCACGAGATCGAAAAGGTCGTGCCTTGCGACTCCGTTCGGAGCAAGTCGCCGATTCTCGTCGAAACGATAGAAACGCAACCAGCCGTGGCCGAGCTCGTCCGAGAGCAACCAAAGCTTACATGGAGGTCATTTATCTGGGATACGTTGGATAAGTCCCCGGAAGAGCGCAAGTTCATGTTCAAGTTAGATGCCGTCATCCTGACCTTTGCGAGTTTGGGTTACTTCATCAAGTAGGTTAGCATCCAAAACCCTGGCGAGCTTCACGCTGACGATCAGTAAGGAATCTTGACCAGATCAACATCAACAATGCCTTCGTATCAGGCATGAAAGAGGATATGCAGCTCTTCGGCAACGAACTGAACTACATGCAAACCTGTTGGACCGTCGGATACGTCCTTGGAGAGATTCCTAGGTGAGTTCGTTCTCTAGGTAAGCTAGCGAGATAGCCATGCTAACGTCCGATTGCAGTAACATCCTTCTCACTCGCATCCGGCCTTCGATCTGGATTCCTGCATGTGAATGCACTTGGGCTGTGCTCACCATCTTGATGATTAAGTGCACCAACGTTAACCAGTTGTACGTCCTCCGTTTCTTCATCGGTCTCGCCGAGAGCACATTCTACCCAGGAATGCAGTACATCATCGGGTGCTGGTACCGGAAGGACGAGCTTGCCAAGAGATTGTGTCTCTTCCACTCAAGCGGCTCCATCGGCTCCATGTTCTCAGGCTACCTCATGGCGGCTGTCTATAAGCTTGACGGAGTATACGGATGGAAGGGGTGGCAATGGCTGTTCATTGTCGATTTGATAATTTCCCTGCCTATCGCGATTGCGGGATTCTTCTTTCTCCCCGACGTTCCTGAAATCACCAAGGCGTGGTGGCTCAATAAAGACGATGTTGCGCTTGCGCAAAAGCGCATGCAGATCGAAGGGCGCGCCAACCGACAACCGTATACAAAGTCCAAGGTCAGGAAGATCCTCACGAGCTGGCACATTTGGGCACTGACGCTGCTCTACATCTTCTTCAACAACGGTTCTGGTATCATGAGCCAGCCCGCGTTCCAGATCTGGCTCAAGGGGCAGGGCTACAATGTCAAGCAATACAACACCTACCCGACTATCACGTCCGCTATCACCGTGGTAACTACATGGATCTATGCTTGGTCCTCAGACTCCGTGTTTAAGGGAGAGAGGTGGCCCCCCATTATCTTTTCTGGCGTCTTGAACGTTGTTATCTACTCAAACCTGGCGGCGTGGAACATCCCAAAGGCGTGGAAATGGGGCTGTTTCCTGCTCACCGGGTTTGGCGGCGGGATCAGTGGACTGACGTTTGCCTGGGCCCACGAGATTTGTAAGGATGACAACGAGGAGAGGGCTGTCGTAACCGGCACGATGAACCAGATGGCCTATGTGTTCCAGGCATGGTTACCGCTCCTCATTTGGCAGCAGGTCGAGGCACCTCGATACCCCAAGGGCTACATCACGATGGTCTTCTTCGCCATGGGCATGGCAAGCACGGCTTTGCTGATTAAATACCTGCACCGTCGCGAACTGGAAAAGAAGACGCACAGGGTTCCTGTTTGATTCAGGCATATTAAAGCATACGTACAGATACCGCTGTGCTCATTGTTGAGGTGGTTACAACCTTGGGTCGTACAGATCCTAAACTCAGAAGTCTCTAACACGGCTTCAAAATATCGCACATGAGATACGCAGTGGGAGTTCAAAAGTATCCGAACGCACCAATTTGGGTTTTTTCAAAGAAAATTTTTCAAAGAAAAAAAAGAAGATGGAAAGAAAAGACTAGGTTATAGGGGCTTACAGAGGATTTAGGTAGCTAAAGCATCTTTACTTTTGCTAAACGCTTTATATCTCGATGCCTATAAGTAAAAAGAAAAAGAAAAAGATATATAAGTATATATATATTTAAAGTAGATTAATAAATCACCTGTAAAATAATATTAGTTAAAAGGTGTAGTGCTCTAAATACTATAGGTTTAGTAGACTTAAGGTGGTGGCTTTTATGAGTTCGGATACTGTCACGATGTGATACAAGGCGTTAGTTGTGTTGCTGCGACTAACGGCGTCGTTTTTAGCGCAACAGATACTTTGACCGGTTACTGTACACAATGGTAGACGCTAATCCTCAAACTGAGCAACTAGTCATTTATAGGCTGTGCCTCGAGTGTCACGTCCATGATGGTCATAAAGTATCTGTCTGCGGATGTTTCCGGTATAGTTGACCCGGGTTCATAAGCTCATTTGACATGATCTTGATGGCGATCGACTCCTGTATATGGCTGCCACCATGGAATAGAGGGAACTACTAGTTTGGCTTATCAACCAGCCGCAGCCGATGATAAAAGAACACCGCATTGTGCTCTGCATCTGCCCTTTGACAAACATTTGATTTACTCGGACGTGTCGATCGCATCGAGTTCTCGATAAAGTTCCTGTTTGACTTCGTCACCTGCCCAGCACATGTCCACCGCATTCCGCGCTAGCGTCACCATATCCTTCTTGTTGAAGTTACAGTAGGTGTACGCCTTCTGCATGTTCCCGTCCACCCACACGTCGTGCATGTACACGGGGTCATCACTGTTGATGCAAAACTTGACGCCCTTCTCCCACAGCTTTCGAATCTTGGGGAACAACACATCCGTCGGCGTGCGACGGTGATACGCGTGGGGGCACAGGGTCAGCCCGATGCCCCGGTCCAGCAGGCCCTGCAGCAGCTCGTCGCGGTCGGCAGCGTCCAGGCCGTGGTCGATGCGCTCCGCGCCCGCCCCGCCGCATACCTCGAAGATGGCCTCGCGGACGTGCTCGAAGGTATCCTTCTGCCCAAAATCGCAATGCATCGTCACGTGCAACCCATCGGCCTTGGCTTTCTTGAACGCTGCCTCGAAGAGCATCGGGGGTCGTTCGAACGCGTTGCTCGCGAGCCCAACGGCGTGGAAGAGGCCCTTGCCACCCTCAACACCGCCGCCCGCCCACGGCCTCGACGTCTCGTACGCCGCCTCGCCGTCTTCGACGCTCTCGTCGCGAATGAAACAGAAGATCCAGTTGGACCGCACGCCATACCGCTCCGCGCCGTCGTGTTGGGCCCGGAGATAACCGTTCAGCACGTCCGCGGCGGGGACTCCCCGGCGGGTGTGCGCCTGAATATCGAAGAAGGGCTCGGTGTAGCGGACGTTCATCTCGGCGCACCGGCGGAGGTAGTCCATGGACATCTCGTAAAAGTCGTCCTCCGTTCGGAGGACCTCGCAGCCGGCGAAGTAGGCCTCAAGAAATGTCGGGATGCCGGGAACACGGCCATTGATTTCCGGGCGGTGGTTGAAAAAGACCTTGTAGGATTCCAAGAGCGCCTCGTAGGTGTCGTACGGCAGGGACACATTGTTGCGCTTGGCAAGCTTCCACCGGAGTGAGGGGAGCAGGGTGCCCTCGATGTGGATGTGTAGCTCAACCTTGGGGAGGCCGGCGATGAAGGGCGAGATTTCGAGGCTGTTCATGGCAACTGTGTTTTTTACACCGAATTTTGTCTGATGGTGTCAATATACTCAGATGCGGTCGTGTGATGCCAAGCCAATCAATCAATGTCTTGAGATATGGAGGCAAAGCCGGGATATCTTTACGGTATGGCCGCCTTTGAGCATTTGTCGATCTGGCTCGGCAACTTGTTGCAAAACCCCGTCATGTCGGACATCAGACGACAGCCCACATACTTCTACCGGCCACAGATGCGCTGTAGTTCGTTTGCAAACCTACGTAGTAAGCGCAAGTATCAAACGGCTCAAACCGGAGCCGATGCTCGCAGGAATGTGGGGCAAGAGGATCCGATAAGAATAAGGACAACAAGGGCCTTTTGAGTGAGATTTTTGGTCATCAGCCAGCCATAGCCGTCGAGCCGATATCACAACTTGTCGGCGCGGCCCAGTCCTTGTGAAGCCGAAGCAGTTCATATATGTCTCTTCCTGTCATCCCAAATTGTACATTGTGCCAGACGACGCCTAGTGTCATCTCTCTCCGCATTATGCGTTACTGTTGAGAGACCCGGTTATCAGCGGAATACCGTCGTATCGTGTTCACTCGGATTTTCTCCGATAAAGAGAGGGTGCCCCGCTATCTATACAGCTTCGGACCCCGGTTTCATGTGCACAAACGTCGGCTTATCTCCCTTGCCCTCTGTGGTTCATCTGGCCGTCGGTGCAGCTTCTGGTTCGCGGTGGTTGGGGTAAAGAGAGAGGGCGACGAGGCGCATGGTTTTGGTCGGCAAAGATCGGCAAAGATAAGCATCGGTGATTTTTTTATTTTTTTGGTTCATTCTCACTCGTTCGCCGCGGAAAGGGTGCCGCGTCGACACCCCCGCCAGACCCTTTTGAATGGCCGCTCTACTCAAAAGGGCGATGCCCCGGTGGCAGTCCCGAGATGCAACACTTTGCGACTCCGTAGCAGCTTCGCGGTCTCGTGCAGACAATCACGGCAACGACGAAAGGCAGAGTTTACTCGCCAACATGGGGTCGCCGTCGGACGTCCAGCAGAACCATCCTCCCGCCGAGGCGCAGGCTGGTGAACGGCAGCATGTCGATAGCACTATGGCCAAGAGGATCGTTCGAAAGATCGATCTCAACCTCATCCCGCTGCTCTTCATCACGTACATGCTCAACTTCATGGACAAGACGATCCTGTCGAGCGCGGCCGTGTTTGGTCTCAGAGACGACACCGTGAGTTGCGCTTTGCACCGGTCTACCGGAATCGTTCTAATAACCCCACAACAGAAACTCAAGGGTCAGGACTACAGCTGGGTGTCGAGCATCTTCTATTTCGGCTACTTTGCCTGGACGTATCCCACGTCGATCCTCATCGCACGGCTGCCTGTCGCCAAGTACATGACCGCCAACACCTTCTTCTGGGGCGCCGTCGTCGCGCTCACAGCCGCGTGCACCAACTACGGCGGCCTGCTCACCGTCCGCTTCCTCCTCGGCGCCGCCGAAGCCACAATCACTCCGGCCTTCATGTTCCTCACATCGACGTGGTACACCCGTGACGAGATCCCCACCCGCACCGGCATCTGGTTCGCCGGGAACAGCGTCGGCGGCCTCGTGGCCTCCTTTGTCGCTTTCGGCTTCGGCCACGTCTCCGACGACCACAAGGTCGGCCCCTGGCGCTCGATGTATATACTCCTCGGCATCCTGACCTTCATCTGGGCTTTCGTGCTCTGGATCTGGCTGCCCGACACCATCGCTAAGGCACGCTTCCTCACCACCGACGAGCGCCGGTACGCGGTCGACCGCGTGGTCATCGCTGGCACCGGCTCGACGGCCAAGACACACTGGAAATGGGATCAGGTAATGGAATGCTTGATCGACCCCAAGACCTGGTTCATATTTGGTCTCGAGATCATCACGCAGATCCCCAATGGCGGTACCCAGAACTTTGCCAATCTCGTCATCAAGTCGTTCGGCTTCACGAGCCTGCAGTCGACCCTCATCAATATCCCCTACTCGCTGCTCACGGCCGGCGTCATCGCGGGAACTGGCTGGATTGCAGGCCGCTACCGCAAGATGAATTGTATTTTGATCGCCATCATCGTGCTTCCGTGCATCACGGGTTCGGCTATCATTTACTCTCGCGAGAGCGTCAGTAGCGGCGTCCAGCTGTTCGGCTACTTCCTCCTCGCGCCCGGGCCTGCCGCGATGCCGCTAGCCATGTCTCTCGTTCAAGCCAACTATCGCGGCGTGACCAAGAAGATGACAATGTCTGCGTTGCTGTTTCTGGCTTACTGCGCCGGTAATATCGCCGGCCCTCAGTTCTTCAAAGCTTCCGAGGAGCCACACTATAACACCGCCTTCCGGACCATCATGATCTGCTACGCGCTTGTCGTGTTTCTCGCGCTCGGATTGAGGTTTTACCTGGAATGGATGAATGCCAAGCGCACCAGGGAGGAGGGATACGAGGGTAGCGCCGGAGGCGCAGGTGCTGTCGGTGGCGGCAAGGTAATGCAAGCGGATGGGAATGCGGACGATGTTGCAGATATGGTTGATCAAGTTGAGCTGCGTCCCGAAGACTACGAAGATGTGACGGACTGGAAAACTGCCGGTTTTAGGTACCGCCTGTGAGCTGAGGTGGATATGTTTGTGGTGTTGGTTGGCGGTAAAATCATGATGTTTATAGACACGAGTCTGGGTTCACAAGTCGCCGACAATGTCGCACTTGCGATTTCCCTTAGTCAAAGTGAGAAGCAACATGATGCTCCACCGCCGCTGTGTCCCCTTGGAAATCGCCGCAAACCGGACAGGTCACCACCTCGGTTGCAGCCGGACAAGATACCGCGTCCGCCGTTTCTGTGCCGGAGGCCGCTTCGGACCTGCCCCGCCCTCCGCTCTTCTGTTTGGCCGGGCGAATGTAGGCCTCGAGCCCGACTTGCGACGGAGGGAGATCAGCGTCTGCTTCTTGTCGGCAGCCTTGCCCACGTCGTGACGGTCGACCGTTGACGGAGGCCGCTGATCCGGCACCTGCTCCGGCGGGCTCTTGGTCTGAAGTAGATGGGAGCGGATGCGCTCCGGCGTGGGACTGCACTCGCCCGACTCGGCCGTCGACGAGACGCACTTTGATGCCTCGCGGGTGGTTGCCGCGGGTCAGAATATCTTGGACGGTTCCGGTCACGGTGCGACCGGTGGGCTGATCAGCTTTGAGAACGATGTTGACGCTGGCGCCACGAACGACAGTGGCTACTGTGGGAACCCGGCTCATGATTCAGGTGCATCAAGTATCTCTTTGCGTTTGTGGTGTGTTGTCCTGGTCCAGCGTTGCGGATGCTATGTAGGTCAGTGTGTGAAGGAATTGCAAGCCCATGCAGGGACCACCTCGCTATAAGGTTCGCCAATATTACGCTATTTTTGATCCACCCAGCCCCAAACCGAACAAAACCGTTCCAGGTCGTCCACACCCCTACACATCGACCCACTCTATAGTGTCTAATCTCTCCCGACTTATCACATCAACAAAGGCCGGATGTCGCAATGGTAGCGAGCTACTTTCCGGTGGTAGAGGTTCTGGGTTCGAGTCCCAGTTCGGTCGACATAAACTTTTGCCTGTTTTTGATACTGATCTGCCACCAGCTTTCTACAACGTGTTTTCGTACCGTTACACCGTAAGTATTTATTTAGTCTTGTAGTTTTTTCTATCCTTAAGCTTGGCCTCTGTGCTTTTGTGTAGGACTTTGTGTTGGCCCTGCTTATTGGGTTGAATAAACATGAGAATTCTGAACTTCTGACATAGGCGACATTGACGAACCCAGTTTTTCTTGAAGTAATCCTGGGAGCAGAAATAGCTTTCATTATTGCCTATTTTCAAGCACGTTAGGCACTGTAAAGCGCTAGCATCATTTTCACAGCCTGCTCCTCAACATCTCCGTTTCAGTGGCGAATCTGATGGGTTGTCGGCCATTGCGTTGGCGTTGGTCGGACGACAATCTGTTACAATGAAAGTACAAGAGGAAGGTTATCAGACAGAAATATAAAATTCCGGTGCTGCCAAGTAGGTGTGCGTGGCGTGGCATAAAGATGCATCATCTTACAACACCCCAGTTGTGCCCTGCTCTCTTCAGAAAAATATCGTTGCTCATTCCTCAAAATTTTATACAGTTATAGAGTCATCCATGCTCCCCTGGGCTTGACAGTATATAAATAAATCTCTAGAAGAGAGAGCTATAGGATAAGTAGTATAATAATAAAAGAAGCTAATATATAATAAGCGCTCCTATAAGACTAATTAGTTAAAAACACCCTATTATAAAGGACTAATAGACAACTATTACTCTATAGTATACTAATTGTTGGAATAGTATTCCCACCGATTCGTACGCATGAGTCAGCAGCCTAGAAATATATATAACTGGCCACTTTCAGCCAGCTAGATCTTAGTTAACTCAGTCCTTTTATATTGTTCAGATTGAGTACTTAACCTATCTATAGTCTTTCCAACACTAACAGTATTGTAGACTAGTATATTTAGATAGACTTTTACACACTTAAGAATAAACTTCTGTAGCTCTTTAGTAATTAACTTTATAATATTGAGAAAGGGCTGGGGCGCTAAGCCGCTATGGGGAAAAAGGAAAAGAAGGACAAGGTGTAAGAACAACTCCGAAAGTCTGGCTTCTCCGGACTTATGTTGTAGGTCACGATCTTCCCGAGTCCGAAAGACACAGCGGTCTTATGGTGTCGGCTGCCCAGGCAGCCATAAATAGGGAGTAGAAACAATAGGATATCTGTTCTTCGACGGTTTCTTTTACCTCTTATAGTTTGTTTTACATATTGAAGATGTTCTTGTTGGTAACACCAAGGGATAGGTTAATATAGTTAACTATACGTATTAGTGGTAATTAACAAATAATAGGGGGTAACTATAGTTCTCTATTATGCGTAAAGAAAAGAAGGATAATTATTGTAGGTTAGTTAGTTAAATAACCAACTTATTGCCTATAAATCCTTAGAGAATCTATAGCTAAATATCTAAGGATTTGCTAGTAATAAGTTATTAGGGTTAACCTAATAACTCTAATATTTATCTGCAATAGTTAATATTATAACACTAGTAACTTTCTATAGTACTAGAAATCCCCTATTATTTATATCTAAAAGAATAGCTAAAAAACGTAATAAAAACAGGAAGCTAAAAAATATTTAATACTTTTTGCTTATATAGTCTATTATATATAAGAAACCTATTTATTTATCTATATTTTTAACTACCTATTACTAACTAGCTTCTCTAATATATTATTTAGTAATAACTTTATAAATTTATTTACTAAGTTATTACTACTATAAATCTACTGTATCTTAAAAATCTTATAGTGTTTATATAACTAGTAAAAGGCTATAATATCTATTATAAGTTACTTCTCCTTTATAGTACTAAGCTTTATAAGGCACTTATAAAGTAAGTATAAGTTAGTGTAGAGTATTATAGGTATTTATAGTAGCTTAAGGTAGTTAGTAATTATTATAAGAGTAGTACTAATTATATAGGTAATGTTAGCGCTAGTAATTATCCTATAGACCTTAGAGGTAAGTATACTATATATAACTTTTTTATACTTTATTAAACTAAAGTAGATAATATTACTAGTTAATTTAAAGCTTTTACTATTAGTAGTAGGTTACTTAATAATTTATTTATTAGTAAGGACTATAATAAAGCTAAGTTAGGAGGTAAAGTTATAGTTATTTATAAATAAGCTATTAATAAATATAAAGAGCTTAGTAGTTATAAGGTTAATTAGTAAGAATTATAGGCTATAGTTAAGGTTATTAATTTACTATTTAATTTAGTAGTTTAGAGCTTTAATCTCCTTTACTATAGGTAATTAGTGTTAGGTAGTAACTAAATAGTTAAAGTAAGCTTTAGGTTAATAGATAGAAGTAATATATACACTATAGGCGTATTACTAGATATAATCTTGCTAGGCAGTAGGTAATTTTTTATTAATAAGTTAAAGCTTTTTACCTTAGCCTTTTTAGCAAAGGGTAAGCTTACTGTTAGTAGTAATAGATAATATACTACTATTAAAGGTAATAAAGTTGTTAGCTATAAGTAACTACTTAGGTTTTACTATAAAAGTAGCCTTCTTAAGCTTCTTCTCTTTATAGGTAGAGAATTTACTGTCTATAAGGCTAATTATATTGTCTATTTATATACTAATTAATTTAAAGTTACTATTATTAGGTAATAATATTAATAGGTAAAGGTTAAAGGTTAATAAATTTATCTAGAGATTCTCTTTATAATAGTAGTTATATATTACCTACTAGTAGGTTTCTGCCTCTATAATACTATATAATAGCTTAGTTACTATTATTATTATATTTACTAGGTAAAGATAGTAAATCTATATAGGCAGGTAGGCAAAAATAATATAATTTAGTAGTATTACTAATTAGGTATACGCCTAGGTAATATTATATAACTAGAGAAGAAATCTATATTAAAGTAGTAAAAAGGCAAAGGTAAAGATTAATTACTAGGCTATTTACTAGATAGTAGGCAACTATATAAGAATTATTTTTTTACTATTATCTATATAGCCTTAGATAATAAGCTATAATTTCTTATAGGGCTACTTGTTTTTGCTTTTTACTTTATAGACTATATATAATTTAAATATATAGGTGTTACTATAGGATTTCTTATTATAAGTAATAATATAAAATACACTATAGTTAACAAAGGCTTTTACTTTTGCCTTATTAGATTCTTTAAAAGGTTTACTAGGTGTAGTAATAATTCTTTTCTTATATAGCTTAATAGTAAATATATAGTTTACCTCTTCCTTTATAGTTAAGAACACTATAGTTATAGTAGGGTGTATCTTTATAAAAAACGTAGGTATTAGGTTCTTTTATAGGTAACTATAGTGTCTTTGTAGTAGTTTATTATTAATAATAATAGTATTATATACTTCTTCTTTAGCGTTAGGTATCTCTATAAGGTCTTCTTATGCTTATATAGTGTATATAGGACTATCTTCTGCTTATATAGAGTAGTTAGTATACTTGTTTAGCGTAGGGAGGTCTAGTTAACTTTCCTTTGTGTAGTAGGGTTTTATTATAGTAATCCTAAAGTTATATAGGCTATAGGGTAAATTAATAGTACAAGTAGTACTATTATTAATAATAAGGTAAAATAGGCCCTACTAGCTATATTTTTTACGCTATATATAAATAAAGGATTAAAGAAGTAAAGTAATAGTATTAGTTAAATCTAGGCTATTATATATTATTAGTGCTTTATATAGCTATTACTTTATATAGATCTAGTGTACTACGTTTATTACTTTCTTAATAGCTTTAGTGTACTATACAGTAGTTATAGTAGGTAGTAACTTATTAGTTATTTAGGGGTATACACTAAAAACAAGGAGAGTTAGGATAAGGCTATCTAGGCTAATAGTATTATTAATTATTTTAATAGTAAGTTAAAGGGTAACTTTAGGTTTAGCACTAGTTTCTTTATAAATAATCTTATAGGTATAGTAAAGAGGTATATAATAGTGCTTAACTTTACTAATACTATAATAAGCTTTAATAAGCACTTCTTTTACTTTAATAGATAACCTATAGGTAGTATATTTAAACTTACTAAAGTAAAAATTTAGGCTAGCGTTTATTATTATCTAATTAGGTAGGCTAAGATATATATTAATCTAGTATATTTATAGTGCCTCTTATATATACTCTATAGTAATAGATTATAAGAATCTTGCTATATTAAACGCTATTACTATATTAACTATATAAAGTACTAGTTTATTACTATTAAGGTATATTATATTAATAAAGATCTTATAGTTAAACTTGTTATTATTATATAGTATAAATTTAAAGTAACTAGGGGCTTTAAAGTATAATTAGTAGTAGTAGTAGTACTTGTTAATAGCTTTAATTAACAAAAGGGAGGTGTTTTCTCTAGCGCGTTTAAGTAACTTATAAAGTTACTAAATAGATAGGTAGCTAAATTACTAGTAGATTTAGTGTAATTTACTGTCTATTAGGTGTTACCTAGTAATACTTCTCTCTAGTAGTTATAAAAGCATCTATAGGTAGCTAAATTAGTAGACAATAGGTATAATATTATTACCCTAGATTAGCTAGTTAGTAAGGTTATTAAATTTTATACTATAATAGTCTATATCCTTTAAGTAAAAGAGAAATAGAGTATTAGTAGTTATTATATAAAAAACAAGGTTACTAAGTAGTATAAGTATATTAATTACCCCTAGGGATTTAAAGTAATTACTACTACTAAAGTAAATACTTACTTTACCTACTTAAGTAGTATCTATAGGTATTTTTTTACTTAAGTAGCACTAAAGGGTAAAGTATTACTTATAACTAGTAGTTAATTTCTTAGCTACACTAGTGTTAAGTTATTATATAGGATATTACTAACTAACACTGCCTTCTAGAACAACGTTGCTTATTAATCTAACCTTTGCTCCTAAATATAGATACTTGCAGTAGAATCTACTAAGCAAGGCAATATTTAAGGAACATAGATTATAGTACTATAGATAAAAGAAATAAGCTACTTTTAACTATATAAATTACTTCTTAAATATACTACTTAATAATAGTTATAAGCCTAGCTTTAACTTAATTTATAAGTAATAATAACCCCTACTATTATAAAGTAGTATACACTTAGAAATACCTTTCTTAAAACTAATACTCTTTCTTAATTTTATCTTACGCCTATAATACCTTTAGAAGTAACAGTAAGTCTACTAACTAACACCTGCCTTTATAGCCTTTTAACTATATATAAAGATTAGTTCTCTTAGTATATAAAGCTTTACTTCTACGCTACCTAACATAAAGTCTAGTAATTTATTAATCTAAACAGCAAAGAGAAGCTCCCTAAGCACCTAGGAGCACCTTTACTAGCTAAATACATTATAGAGTAAAACGCTAAGCGCTAAAGGTAATATAAAGCTAACTTTATAAGCTAGAATAACCT